GCTTGCCCTCTGGAGCTTACAACTTGAATTGTTTATTTGTACAGCAGAAATAATAATGATATTAGCACTCTCCAATCATACATTAATTCACTCATCTATCCAGTATCTTTTACTGAACACCTAAGTATGCCAACACTGAGCTTGACATCACACATCTAGAATATACTGAATACCATTCTCTGTGCTTAGATCTTTTTTTCCACATGGTTAGTTCCCTCTATCGGTTCAAATCTCTGTTTAAATGTCACCTCCACACCAATACTTTCCCTGACCACAGACTCCCACCTCTCCCTACCACTGTCACTGGATTAGCAAATTGCAAGGCCCTGACCAAAAACAAGTCCCATAGATGCTATCTCTTTAACAGCTTTTTGATCAATTTATTTCTCTCTAGCCCATCTCCTGCCTTCATCGGGTTATCTTTCACCAGACTCCTAACAAAGGCCTTTCCACTCCTCTTGTTTCTACTCTTCCCACTCCTCAAATACACTCTTCACACACTAGCTAGAGTGGTCTTTCTAATAAACATTCTGATTCTTTTCTCACCATATACTCTCTCTCTCTCTAGGTGATTTCACCCCCACACACACCCACCTCCAGTGATTTCATTCTATCTTCAATAACCCTTGACTAAGAGATGCCTCAAATGTACTCCTCAGATGCTAAAAGTAGTGGACAAAAGTTTAATAAGAAATAGGAAATTATATAAACTCAAAGTATCTCCCACAAATACAGACAGAAAAAGAATAACTTGATAGTGGAGAAACCTGACAGATACCGCCTTAATCAAGTGATCAGAATTATCACTAGTAATAAGAAAAATCAAGATCACGTGCACCCTGGGAAGGTGCATTGAAAACTCAACATCGCTTCTGCAGTATTCCTGCCAAAAATGTATTATGCTAAATCTTAATCATAGAGAAACATTAGATAAACCCAAATTGAGGGACATTCTACGAAATAAAGGATCTGTACTCTTCAAAAAATGTCAAAGTCGCCGGGCGCGGTGGCTCACGCCTGTAATCCTAGCTCTCTGGGAGGCCGAGGCGGGCGGATTGCTCAAGGTCAGGAGTTCAAAACCAGCCTGAGCAAGAGCGAGACCCCGTCTCTACTATAAATAGAAAGAAACTAATTGGCCAACTAATATATATAGAAAAAATTAGCCGGGCATGGTGGCTCATGCCTGTAGTCCCAGCTACTTGGGAGGCTGAGACAGAAGGATCGCTTGAGCCCAGGAGTTTGAGGTTGCTGTGAGCTAGGCTGACACCACGGCACTCACTCTAGCCTGGGCAACAAAGCGAGACTCTGTCTCAAAAAAAAAAAAAAATGTCAAAGTCATAAGACAAAGAAAGATTAAGGAACTATTCCAGATTAATGGAGAACAAACAGACGTAACAACCAAATGCAGTATGTGATCCTCTATTGGACCAGACCAGAAAAATTCTTTTCATTTTGTATTTAGCACATTAGTGGAATAATTGGCAAATTTTGACTAAGGTCTATAGATTAGATAATAGTACTGTATCTATGTTAATTTTCACACTTTGACAATTATGTTCTGGTTATGTAAGAAATTGTCTATTTTTTAAAGTAAATATACATTAGTCAGGGTTTTCCAGGAAAAAAGAATAGGAGACAGATATTATTATAAAGATTTGGCTCATTGATTATGGAGGCTAACAGGTCCCAAGATCCCCAAGATTTTCAGGGTGAGTTGACAAGCTGGAGCAGACAGTGTAGCTCCAGTCCGTGTACAAAGGCCTGAAAACCAATGGTGTAATTCCAGTTCAAAGGCCAGGCTCAAGACCCAGGAAGAGCTAATATTTCCATTTGAATCTGAAGGTAGGAAAAAGCCAATGTTCCTATCCCAAAGCAATCAGGCAAAAGAGGAAGGCTCTCTTACTTGGGAGAGGGTTAGCCTTTTTGTTCTTTCATTTGTTTGTTTTTTTGAGACAGGGTCTCTCTGTTGCCCAGACTAGAGTGCTATGGTGTGATCACAGCTCACTACAACCTCAAACTCCTGGGTTCAAGGTATCCTCTTGCCTCAGCCTCCCGGCAGCCACAGCTGCACACCACCACACCCAGATAATTTTTTCTATTTTTGACAGAGACAAGGTCTTGCTCTTCAGGCTTGTCTCAAACTCCTGAACTCAAGCAATCCTCCTGCCTCAACCTCCCAGAGTGCTAAGATTTCAGGCGTGAGCTACCACACCTAGCCCAGCCTTTTTGTTCTATTCAGGCTTTCAAATGGTTGGATGAGGCCCACCCACCTTAGGGAGGGAGATTTGCTTTGTTCAGTCTACCAATTCAAATGTTAATCTCATTTAGTACACCCTCACAGAAAGACTCATAATAATGCTTGACCAAATATCTGGGCACCAATACTCCAAAAACACATTAATTGCCCCAAGTTGACAAATTAAAATTAACTATCACAGGGCCAGTGCAGTCACTCATACCTGTAATCCCAGCACTTTGGGAGGTCAAGGTGGGAGGATTACTTGAATCCAGGAGTTTAAGACCAACCTGGGCAAATTATGAGAACCTGTCTCTACAGCAAAAATAAAAATGACCTGGGTGTGGTGGCATGAGCCTATAGTCCCAGCTACTTGGGAGGCTAAGGTAGGAGGATCCCTTGAGCCCAGGAGTTGGAGGTTGCAGTGCAGTCTCCATATTAGAGATGAGCAAGACCTCATCTCTAATAAATAAATAAATACAAAATTAACCATCACATATGGTTAAATTAAATGAGCTTTATCTCTGAAACTCTCAAACAGTTCAGAAAAAAAAATTACATATGTGTAGATAAATATATTAAAATAAAACAAACACAGTAAAATGTTAATATTTGGGTAATCAGGGTGAAGGATTTGTACTACTTTCGCAACTTCAGATGCACAAACCTGATAATTATCCTTGACTCTTTCTCTCCCATAACTGAGCCATTACCATATCCTGTAGGTTTTACTGTCCTAATATACATCTAGTAGCCACAATTTCTCTCCATTACCACCACCACCACCACTTTGGTGCAAGTCATCATCATCTCTCACTTAGACTGCTACAATAACCTCCCAACTGGTCTACCAGCTTTTCAGTCTTTCCTCCTCTACAATCATTCTCCACCCTGCAGCCAGTGATCTTTGCAAAAATACAAATTTAAAGTCAGCTAAATGCAATGTACTATCCTTGATTGCATTTCTAAAAATTAAATATTATAAAGGGCACCGTGTTAGTCTGTTTGTGGTGCTATCACAAAATACCGCAGACTGGGTTATTTATAAAAACAAATTTATTTTGTCACAATTCTGGAGGCTGGGAAATTCAAGATAAAGGCTCTGGCATGTTAGGTATCTGGCAAAAGCCAGTTCCACATAGATAGTGCCCTCCAGGTGTCCTTACATGGTAGAAGGGACAAAAAGGGCAAATTTGCCCCCTCAAGCCCTTTCATAACACACTAATCCATTCTTGAGGGTAGAGCCCTCATAACCTTATCACCTCCTAAAAGCCCCACCTCTTCATACCAACACAATAGGGATTAAATTTCAACATGATTTTGGAAGGAACACATTCAAACCATAGCAGACATGAATGAGACAACTGGGGAAATTTGAATGTCAATTGTATATTACATAATAGTATTGGATGAATGTGATAATGGTATTATGGTTATGTATGAAAATGTCCTTGTTCTTAGGAGATATATGTTAAAAATATATAGCAGTGAAGTGTAAAGAATTTTATACCTAACTCAAGTGATTCAGCAAAAATAATTATTTTATCATTGCTATTATACACACTCATATTCAGAGAGATACAAAGCAAGTTTGGCAAAATGTTATCAGTGAATGTAGGTGAAGGTAGGTAAATGGGTTACTCATTATACTAATCTTGCAACTTTTCTGAAAGTTTTAAATTTTTTTAAAAGGTTAGGGAAAATATTATATGTCATTATATGTTAAGTCTAGAGTCTGATAAAGGTATTGTGGTTATGTAGGAGAATATCCTTATTCTTAGCAGACACATATTGGAGTACTTAGGGGTGAAATGTCATGCTATCTGCAACTTATTTTCAAATGGTTCATCAAAAAATATATAAATATATTTTTAAAGTATGTATAGTACTTAAATACATAAGCATATATGTATAAGTATATAACATATGTTTAAATGTAAAAAGTGGTGAATCTAGTGAAAGATAGGCAGTGTTACTTTGCACTATTCAACTTTTCTGTGGGTTTGAAATTTTTCAAAATGAGAAGCTGGGGAAAATACTTAGAAGATATATAAATATATAAAATACTGAGGATATAAAACAAATATGAATAAAGTTAAAATTATGTATCATCTTAGAAAAATCTCATTCTGTTCTAATCCTGCTTAAAACCTTCACTAGCCTCCCACTGCTCCTAGGATAATGACAAGACCACCTAACAAGAGCTACAAGGCCTAGCGTGGTCTGGCCCCTAACTCCTGACTCATTACCATCATCTCTGCCCCCTGGGCACAGACCTTACAAAACCCTAACTACCCCACTAGGTACACCCCCTCAGAGATCTCTCTCCTCCTGGCTTTCGCATGTGCAGCTACCACAGCCATAGTCTATGAGGGACTGAGAAACGGTTTTCATGCTGTCCCTTCTGGACTGTTCCCCTAAATTTCTCCTCTTGGAAATTTTCTCTTCCCCACCCCCACCCCCCAAAGTCCAGATGACCTGGCTCCTTAGCATTGTATGCTTAGTCTCACCACAGTATTTAGCACACGGTATTGCTATCGTCCGCTCACTTTTCCATCTTCTCCAGCGTTCTGTAAACTCCTTGAGGACAGGGTCTGTCTTTACTCCCCAGCCTCCAGCACTGGCCTGGCGCACAATAATTATGTATTCAGTAAATGGAACAGACTTCCACTTACTCGTATGTAAAATAAAGGAGTTGGGCTAGATGACCTACAAGATCTATTGGCAATAAATAGGTCGAATAATCCCAACCCCGACTGCACAGGAAATTCCTTTTTCTTTGCGGGCTCTGGTTTCGGACGACCTCGCGAGTCGGGAAACCCCGAGACTACAGTTCCCATGAGCCCTCGGGCACCGCGCGGCGCCTGCCGGCCCTGCTAAGGCGCAGACGGACTCCATTTCCCAGCGCGCTTCAGGACGCCGGCGCTGCGTTTTTCCCGGAACGTCAGGAGTCCTGATCCAGAGCTGGAATTGCAGTAGCCGAGGCTAAGCGGCAGGTAGAAAGGGGCCAGCCTGGGGTTCAGAGGCGTCACAGGGGCATCAGATCAACCAAAAGCACAAAGTTGCACACACCCTACTTTTGCAGGCTCCGGCCCATTCCTTGCAAATCCCCTTAGGAAAAAACGCGCCTCCGGTGCGGGCCTCTCTAAGTGCCCTTGTCCCTTCACTACCCGCAGCTAGAGGCCAGATTCCCCCACGTCACACAGAGAAAAGGGGCGGTGTCGCTGGCCTCCCCGTGTGGTGTCGAGGCGGGCTTCCTATCGGGGCTGGGTGTAGATGTCGCGGGGGGCGGGGAGTTGGGTACGATTGCGGGGCCTGCGGCGCGGGTGGTAACACTCGGCCCTCACCGAGCGGAAGGCCCTGACCCTCACTCCGTGCGTCTGCTTCTCTGCGGTAGCGGATGCTGAGTGGGCGGCTGGTCCCGCGCCTTGTCTCCATGGCTGGCAGCGTCTGTTTGTCCCGGGCCAGCGCGGGATCTGGAACCATCGGTCCGGTAGAGGCCGCTATTCGCGCCAAGTTGGAGCAGGCCCTGAGCCCCGAGGTGCTGGAGCTTCGCAACGAGAGTGGCGGCCATGCGGTCCCACCCGGCAGCGAGACGCATTTCCGAGTGGCGGTGGTGAGCTCTCGTTTTGAGGGTCTGAGCCCCTTGCAACGGCACAGGCTGGTACACGCGGCCCTGTCCGAAGAGCTGGCCGGTCCGGTCCATGCGCTGGCCATCCAGGCGCGGACCCCTGCCCAGTGGAGGGAGAACCCTCAGCTGGACACTAGCCCTCCCTGCCTGGGTGGGAACAAGAAAACTCGAGGAACCCCCTGAACCCAAGAGGGGGGGAGGCCAGGATCGACTGGGCTGGGTGAGAATGAACTACTGAAGCCTTCCCCTCAATACAGTCCAGAATTTGTAAGGGCTGAGGGTCCCTGGGCCCCATTCTTGTGTGGTCTCTACGTATTCTCTAGAATAGCAACTAGTTTCAGGTCAAATATAAATCAAGGAAAGAGCAGAGTCACTACTGTTCTTGCCCAGTTGTTCCATGTTATTAATAAATTGTGACAGGAACTGCATCAGACCTGATGAATTGGAAATAATTCTGTACATTAAAAGAGGAATTAACAATATGAATTGCATTACTGTGTTCCTAATATACTTTTGAATCAGTACTACAGGTGTTCTTGGGAGAAAGATATCCGTAGACTAGGGCAGTCAGAGCTTCATGGGGGAAAGTGACCTATTTGGACTTTTAAAGGCAATCACAGAATTAACCAGAAAGGAGAGGATAGGACTACTAAAGTATTGAAAAAAGGAGAACCTAGAAAATGATCACAGAAGTTGGGGAAATCTTTATGTACCCTTTTTCTTATGAGCCTTTCAAAGGTCATATTTTTAGGGGAGCTCAAGTAATATATACAGAAGCAACTTTCCAATAATCTCAATGTGGAAATTATTAGAGAAAGTCCTTGGTTAATATATATCTTGACCATTTCTGGCTAAAGAGTGTAGAATGCATAAGAGTAATTGTGAGAATGGAAAGGAAGGAGTTGATGTGAGAGCTACCATTAAAAAAAAGAAAATGGGCCGGGCGTGGTGGCTCACGCCTGTAATCCTAACTCTCTGGGAGGCTGAGGCGGGCGGATTGCTCGAGGTCAAGAGTTCGAAACCAGCCTGAGCAAGAGCGAGACCCCCATCTCTACTATAAATACAAAGAAATTAATTGGCCAACTAATATATATAATATATTATAATACTATATTAATATATATAATATATATATAAATTAGCCGGGCATGGTGGCGCATGCCTGTAGTCCCAGCTACTTGGGAGGCTGAGGCAGAGGGATTGCTTGAGCCAGGAGATTGAGGTTTGCTTGAGCTAGGCTGACGCCATGGCACTCACTCTAGCCTAGGCAACAAAGCGAGACTCTGTCTCAAAAAAAAAAAAGAAAAAAAAAGAAAATGACTTGATTAGAACAGAAATGGGCTGGAGTGAGAGGGAAGTCAAGGCTAACTTCCAGGGGCATGGGATAAACCAAAAGCACAAAGTTGCACACATCCTACTTTTGCAGCCTCCAACCCATTCCTTGCAAATCCCCTTAGGAACAAACGCACATCGCTAGTGCAGGCCCCTCAAATCCCCCCTTGCCCCTCCACCACCAGCAGCTAGAGGCCAGATTCCCCCGTGTCACACAGAGAAAAGGGGCAGTGTCTCTGGTTTTCAGATTTCTTCTTGGGTAAGAATTCCCAAGGGAATTGTTTAAAATGTACATTCACGTTCCCCCCACTTCCAAACAAAAAGGGATTCTAATTACACAAGTCAAGAATGGAGTCTGGAATCTATAAAAGGCACACCAGAAGATTTGGAGCAAAGTTGGTTCTATTCTTAAGAAACTACTCCAAGTTTTCAAATCTGGGAGACTTATGAGGGCCCTTCATAAGTAGAGAGGTCAGGGTACAGGCACCAATTTAGGAAGTCAATGTGATACATCATGTTATTCTCGCTTCCAGTTTGGAGGGAGTTGTTTTTCTGTCTCACCAATTTACCCTCCCAGGACTGTTAGGAGAGTTGGATATGGGTGGAGAGCACAGAAGCAGACAGCCATTTTCTATTTTAAGGATTCATTTCCTTTTTATTTTTCATCAATAGTTTTCATTGCATTTTTCACATCAACAGAGTTGGGTTTAGGGTTCCCCAGGAGAGCAAGGAAGATGGATGGGTCCCTCCCAGGTGTATAGGGGAGAGGGCTACGTCCAGCAAGTGAAGGGTGAGGGGAGAGGGCACAAGGTACACACTCGTACACTGGGCACTGGAGGAGAAGGCAGTCTTGAGCACAGACACCAAAGAGTTAAACAGTCACCACCTGGTTCAGTGTTACAAAATGGGGGACTGACCACAGGGTGGGGGCACCAGACACAGCATGAGGAGGGTGAATTTAGATTTTCTTTTTTGTTGTTATTTTCACTTTTTTCCTTTTAACTTTTTTAAACATTTTACAAACAGCTAAAAACTACAACACATCACAGCTACAGTAGGGTGAGGAGAGGGCACCAAAGAAAGCAGCCACACAGAGTAGGGTGGGACAGGGCAGCCTAACCTACAGAGGCTATTGTGTAGAAGGGTAAGATGGGGAAACTGAGGCTTCTGGTCCCTGCATTAGGGGTCCCTCACATATAGCCCAACCTCTCCCCACTTTCAGAGGAGTTGCCAGGAGGGCCCCTGCCCCAGCTCCTTGTGCTTTTTGATCTGCTGGTTTGACCATATGCCTGGTTTCTCTCCCTCCCTTGCTCCCCTGCCTGTGAGGTGACAGGGGAGGGCAGCTGTGCTGTTCCTGTCTGTGCGATAGTGGGTGGAGCCTCTGGCTCCAGAGGAGGCCTGTGCTTCTTGAGAGGAGGGAAAGCGATGGGCCTTGTCAGGTGCTCTCAGATCCCCCTAGACTGTGGGACTCTTACCCTAGACTGGCCTAGGGCTCCTCCCTCCCAGGCTCAACACAGAAAGGAGATTAGGGGAAGTACTATGGGAGGCAGGGTTGTGTGTGTGTCCGTTGAGATTACCCTTGGCTTATATTTTAGGACAGTATATTGACACCCCCACCCCATGGCACATGCACACACATACATAAATGTATACACACATTCACACACACAGTCCTGCTGAGCTGCCTCAGAACTTAATATATAAATAAATAAGAATTAGCTAATTTCATAAAATTCAGGCCTTGTATTTGCAGCCCAAATTTAGGGGGAAGGAGAAGCCAGGGGCCTGAGGTTTATTGCTACTCCCCCAGCGTCCACCAGGCGGTGTGAGAGGGCACCCAGCCCTTCCAACTCTAAGAAGTTCTTTTGGTCCATGGTCTATACCCAAGCCCCAGCCCCCAGGATAACTGCATACCCATGGTCTCACCAGGGCCTAGGCAGAGGGAATGAGGGGGAAGGCAGGAAGCCAGTTCTGGAACTCCTGGAGCAGGGAAGTGAGGGCCCCTCACTAACACCGGGGGGAGAAGGGTGAGGCTCAGCCTTCTCTTGTGCAAAGTTGAGGGTAGTAGGAAGAAGGGAGTAGAGTTTCATCCCAAAACTGGGATGAAGGAGCCTTCCCTGTAGTCCCTGCCCACGGGGGTCACACACATGCACACACGCACAGCTAAGACACCAAACGGGAGTGGGGAGTGAGGGCTCTGGGGGCCAGGAAGGCAGGGCAGGGAGGGGAAGAAGGAGTTGTTGGTCTCACAGTGTGCCTGCCACTCCCGAAGCCCCAGAGACCCCCTCACTGCAGCACCTGCCCTCGGGTCTCAGGCAGCTTCAGGGCCAGAGAGCTGCCAAGGGCAAGAGCAGCTGAGGCAAAAAGAATTGGGGCAGCCTTGGTGATTCCCACAAAAGACGTGAAGATACTGATCCCCAGCACAGCCGCCAGCTTGCACAGGGCATTCAGGAAGCCGAAGGCTGTGGTCCTGCTCCGGAGTCCCGTGTGCAGCACAGAGGGCGGGCCCAGGAGGGAGACAAGGGAAGAGTGGGTGGTGGGGAAGTGAGGGCGAGGAAGATGGCGGGCAGTGTCCAAGAGGGAGAGGGAAGCATGAAGAGATCGGAAAGGTGAGGGATGTACATTAGGGAATATAAATAAATTGGGGGATAAGGAAGAAAGAAGATCAAAAAATGAGATTAGTAGTTAAGACTTCAAGAAGTAGATACAAAAGCTACCAGCTTTGAGGGGAGAAACTCAATGGGAATGTATATGCCCCTCTTACCCCTAAGGATCATTTTCCCATTCAGCCTCCCTCTTCACTCCACTCCTCCCCTCCCTCTAGACCCTGGACCTGCTGCCCTGTCCCTACTACACTCCAAGTACCTCTTGTCTGAGGGGTAGAGTTCGACAGTCAACACATCCAGAGCATTCCAGGATGCAATGCTGACCCCCCCAAAAAGGCAGAGCAGAGCAATCATGGCCGACTCGCTGTTTCCAAAAGACAGGAAGAAGCAGGAGACACAGGACATCACACTGGAGCCAGCTGGAGCCAGGAAAGGAGAGAGCAGCATGAGCCTGACCACAATGAAACCCATGTAGAACCCATCTTGTCCCATCAGCTAGCTCTAAGACAGCCCAGGGTGAGATTCTTTTTCCCAAGGTACCCAAAAGCATCTCAACCTCCCTTACAATTGTTTGTTTATTAATAATATCAGCAACAACCATTTATTCAATGCCAGCAACTTCACGCTTTACATGCATTGATTGAGTACATACAATAGTACCTATGAGGCAGGTACTATTATTACCCCCACTTTGCAGACAAGACAACCGGGCTCATAGAGGTTAAGGAACTTGTCCAAAGCAGGTGGCAGAGCTGAGATTCAAAACCCATAACCTCAAAGCCTATGCCCTAACCACTTGCTATTCTGCCTACCTCCTTTTACCCCTTAGAAAAGCTTCTGTGCCAGGCCCCACCCCTTCCTGTAGCACCCCCTAAACAGAAAACGTGAGAGGAGCTCTCTGGCCAATCTCTTCCACAGCCCAAGGTGAGGCACCTGTTGACAGCCTCCCCCAGCTCTTGGCCCCCCCAGTCAGTTCCAAAACACCACCACACAGTCTCTCCCCCTTACCGAGCATCCTAAGCCTGCCAATCTTGTCCATGAGCAGGGCAGACACGATGTTCCCAGGAAGCACAGCAAGCGTCCCCAAGAAGCTGACAAAGTACACCATGTAGGCACCTTCGCCTGTCCCTGTCACATCTAGTGGGCAGCCCTCCTTGTTGTGCAGGAATGTGCTGTTTACCAGACGGCTGTTCACAAACTTGTACTCAAACAGGTCTGGGGGTGAAGACCAAGACAGGCAGGCAGTCACAGTGAACGTGAGAGGAGGCTGCTACTGCTTATGACCCAGGGCTCTGCATTTATGAGGGTAAGCAGTGGGGGCTCTCACAATGACTCAGGGCACTCATTGCAAAACATCAGTAACATCACCATGGGAATTAGGAATCTTTATAGCAGAAAATGACCAACAATCAAACAGTGTGACTTTCTCTAAGTTTTCCCATTAATAGTCTTTGTTTCTTATTCATTCTTATTTTTGTCCATGCTAGCTGACTATAAGCAGTAGCAGTACCCTGGGTTCAGGAAATTTTTTTGGTTTTTGTTTTTTGTTTTCTTTTTCTGCAAGGTGGGAAAAGCTCACCCAGTACTGCATTTAGAGTTAGGAAACCTCAATCTAGCTCACAAAACAAGCACTTCATATTGGAGAATCACTGTTAAAAGAGTGGGTTAATGCAATGATTCCCAACCTTTTCCCCACCAAATATCCTTTTATTGTTTTCCCCAAGGACACTGTTTTGGGTGATTTTTGGCCTCTTCAAAAGTACATTAATATCACCTCACTGAATTATTATAACTCCAGCCAAAGGCAAAGAAACTTGATGTTTTTGTCAGAGATTCTATCAGGAAAATGTGCACTTTCCATTAGATTTTCAGAATTATTGGCGGTAGCTGTTAGGCTCCTCTACCACATTCCCACGGGGCTCCAGAGATCTCAGCTTGAGAACTCTTAGCTAGTGAATGAGGAAGGTTCCTTCCTCTGTCATCAAGGCCCACCCAACCCTTTGTTCTGACACCCACTGGCCATGCCACCTTACCCGTGTTATAAAACACTGTGTTGATGAATGTGCAGTTGCGGAAAAATGTGTTGCTAGATGTGACATCCTCGAAATAACACTCCTCAAACAGCGAATCTTCAAAGGACACTGACTTCAGACGCAGCCCGATAAACCTGTATAGCCGGGATGATGAGAAACACTTTCCCCTCATCCCCATACCCTCCTCCAAGACTCAAACCTTTAGTGAAGTAATGGGAAACTCAGCATTGAGGAGAAACCACAGGAATTTTCCCCAAAATGCCTCCTCTGGAATTCCCAGACTCATAAAAGAGATGGGGTAGAAGGGACAGAGGAGGAGTGAAGTTCAAAGTCCCCCACATACTTGTCATTGAAGTACTGCCCTCCTCGGTGGATCTGATTCTCCAGTGTGAAGTTAAAAGTCACATGCTCTACACGCTCCCCGGGGAACACTTTGGTGCGGGCTGCGTAGTCCACCGCCTGGAGATGGCGGATCATGTCAGGAAACCAGACCGTCAGGCCGTAGTAGCTGAAGAGGCAAGGGTGATGGAAACAGACAAAGCTCAGAGATTAGAACTAGGCAGTTCAGAACAAGGGAGAAGCAGTGGCAGCCCCTAACAGGACTGGCTCCCTGCCAGCCTCACCTCTCACTGTTCCTCCCTTCACCAATGGCTGTGGTTCTGGGGACTTTAAGTTCTTCCACCCCACCCCATACTCTTTCTTACCTCCCAGACATTCTCTTTAGACATCTCCCTGCCTAAAACACTCTTCCCCACCCCTGGCCTCTCCAACCGCCCACAGCCTATCTGATCCTCCCCCCATTCATCCTTCTGGACTCAGATTCCCACCCCCCACCCCCCGAGTCCCAAGTGCTGTCTTAGCTCTTTGCCCTTCGTCCACCGTGGCTCTCATCACACTGGCTGTCATTATCACATAGCAAGTTTCATCCAGCTCCCTGACCAAAACGTAAACTCCAAGAAGACTGGGACCACATCTATTTCATCCCAGCATAGTACCAGCACGGAATAGAAACGTAACACCAGTCAGCCTACAATACAAGTCTGTTGAATGAACGAATGAAGTCAAGGAGCTGGGTAGAGGATCAGAGGGGATCTGAACAGCACCTCTCCTTGTTGCTTGTCCCCCATATTTCCATTTCCCTTACCCCTCCCCAAGCCCACACACCATGGCAACCCCCTACCCCTCCACCCCTCACCTGAATGACATGGTGAACCACACACCCATCATCATCAAAGTGATACGCCGATATTCCGGACCAAAACAGGAGAGGAAATTCCCCCAAACCTGCAAGGATCAGAGCAAAGTCAGACCTTGGCTGTACTAACTTTTAGCGCCCACAGATCCCCATTTTCCTGCCCTACCACCACCCTTCAGTTCATCTGTCACCCTCAGCCCACCTGGGCTTAAGTCCTGCCTTCCTCTCTACCTCTCCCACTCCCTTCTCTCTTAACCCTCTTCGCTCTCCACCATCCCATCCTCCATTACCTGCCCCCCAAGGCTCAAGGCCCGGACGCCCCAGCGCTGATACCAGGTCCCCGTGTCTGACTGGATCTCAATCAATTCATCCTCCTGATGAATCGTCTTAATGTGGGTTACCTGGGGTCAAGAGAAGAGGTGAGCAATCACACACTCTGTATTTCCCAACCTCTTTCAGGGACCTCAATTTCCCCTGCATTTGCAAAATGGGAGGCAGGGGATAAGATATGATACCCTAAAAGTCACCTTGAGGTAGAGTGCAGTCTAACATGTCTCAGAAGGTGAGGGGTATCCAGAGAGGGGCCAGGTGGGGGCTGGGGCTGCAGGGGCTTGGAGGTTTGAGTGGGGAGGGCTGCGGCTTACTGAGAATACTCGCTCAGGATGCCCCTTGGCTCGCATGTTGGTGTCATGAACCTGCTTCAGCACCATCCAGGCCTCATCATGCTTCCCGTTCTAGAGCCACAGACATAATCCCCACATCCAAGTCAGCCCCTCCCTGGCCCAGGGTTATAGACCCCCTCCCTCCAACCTGGCTTCTGGAGTCACGGGACACAAAACAGCTCTCACCCCACCCCCAACCCTACCACCAACCCCTGACCTATGGACATGCATCACCCACTCTGAAAGAGCCCCAAGCTAGAGTACAGCAAGATATAATCAGACTTGGAAAAGAGTTGAGAGGAGCCATCTAGGGGACAAAGGCAAGCACAGGTCCTAAGAATTCCTGGCAAAATGGAAAGTGAAAAGTGAAATCTGAAGACAAGGAGAATGATGGGCAAGGATGTAGTCAGAGAAGAGGCAGCATCCTAACCCTGCTGGGCCAAGGTATAGTTGGGGGGGGGGGAGGAATAGAGAGTAGGAAATTCTCTTAGGTTATAAATTTAGGGCCAAGGCCAAGGCCTCTCCCTGCAAAGTCTCAAGCCACCCATGGTTGAATAGGGCCCCTGGTTTCTTCACCCACAGAACCCCTCTGGAGGGATATTCCAAGGCAAAGGAAGCAAGATAAAGCTCCCCAGAGCATGGACCCTGTGAGGAAGGAAGGCAGCCACACAGGACCAAACCCAACCCACAGTGTGTGTTTGAATACAGGAGCCCTTGCTGCCCTCCACACTCCACAGCCCTCCCCTCCCCTCCTCTCCCCCCAGCCCCATCCCATCACCTCCAGGAAGAAACGGGGGCTCTCAGGCTGTGTGGTCAGAGCCCCAATGGCAAACACAGAGGGAAAGGCGCAGACGAGGACAAAGACCCTCCAGCTGTGGAACTGGTAAGCAGAACCCATCTGAAAACTCCACCCTGGCAGAGACAGAGTCACAGTGTCAGCAGAGAGACCAGAGGCTGGGGTCTCCCATCGCAGGGAGCACAGGAGGAGCAGGAGGAGGGAGAGAACCTGGGGTGGATTCCTGGGGGCTGCTCACCGTAGTGGGGGATGATGGCCCAGGCCATAGCAGCTGCGTACACTCCACCAATCATCCAAAACATGCAGAGCCAGCTCAAATGCTCCCCACGTTTCTCCTGGGCCAGAAACTCCGAAAAATAGGAGAAGACAATGGGGATAGACCCTCCAATCCTGGAGGGCATTTCAAGAATTCAGCATTAGAAAATGGCCATATTCCTGATCCCCTGCCCCAATGCATTGGATCCCCAAGTTCCTTTCATCTTCTAGACATTTTAAGAGACTGTTACCCTCACAGCCAGACATCAAGCACCCATCCTTGGCACCATGGGAAACAGGCAAGCAGGTACCAGCAAAAGAAGAGGAGCAAACATTAAATCTTGAAGATGACTACAGAATTGGAAGGGAAGGAAGACGATTGCAGAAAAGAGGGAATATCTCCAGAGAGAAAGGAAGGGCAGGAGTCTGAGTGCAGGCATTGTGGGAGCAGGCCAGAAGAGGTTGGCACAAGGCAGAGCAAGAGTGTGTGGCATGCTTGGGGAAGTGTAGGGCTGTGCAGCAAGGCTTCAGAGTTCTGGCAGGTGTGACTGTTAGCAGGGTTTGTAGTTGAGTGCAGAAAGTGTGTAGACTCTAGGAGGGGATAACTCTAGATCCATAGGAGCCCAGGGGTGAGGCCTGGGCCCACCAGGCCTCTTTGTGAAGGTAGGCTGGTGGGGTAGACCAGGCATGGAATGGCATTCTGGACAGCTGCAGACAGGGAGAACAGACCAGAAATTCCACCTGGCCTGAAGACAGTGGGGGGATAAAGAAATTCACTCATTCATTCAACTCCCACCCATTTGAGATGCATCTGCTGTGCCTGGCACTGTGCTGGGCCCTAAAGATATAACACTGACCAAGGCACAGTCCTGCCCTCCAGGAGCTTAGGAAGTGGACACTCACCCAACCCCGGAAAGGAGGCGGCAGAAGAGGAAAGTGCCATAACCCTGGACGAAAGATGAGAAGAAGGCAAAGACGCTGTTGACTGAGAGTGAGATGAGTAGACACTGTCTTCGACCCAGCCGGTCAGCCAGACCTCCCCAGAGGAAGGCTCCCACCATCATGCCCAGGTAGACGATGAGGCCTAGAAGGGGGAGGAAAACAGAGGCAGACAGGGTATGAGCAGACACACCTCGATTCTCCCATTAGTTGAGCGTTAAAGAAGCCGAAACTGCAGCAGAATAGATCAGATATGAAGAACTTCTAGAAGCTGAGTCTATCCAAAGATAAGTGTTAGTGAGAGAAAATGAACTGTGTGAGCAAAGATGGAAGGTCATCTCTGCAGGCCAGGGGTTCAAAGGCAGAAATGGGAACCCCAGAACTCTCCACTCTCCTCTCTCTCTCTCTCTAATTTCTCACTCTCCCTCACACACTTCATCTCCTCAATATCTCTCTCTCTCACCCACACGCACCTCCCACCCCCATCCCTGGCTCACCTAGGGAGATGGATCTGCCTGGATTCCCAGACCGGCCCAGGGTCGTCTCTATCCTCCCTGCTTTGCTGCCCTCCTTTTCTCCTTGGGAAAGGAGCTCCAATTGCTTCAGTCTCCCCAGGGAATCCCCCACACAAAATCTATCCTTTATTCTTTCCAGTTCCAGTACTTCTGATCCTAAAACTCCCGTTTCTTACTTCCTTCATAAATCAGAACTGGAATTAAATTTTAAAATCATCTACTCCAAACTACATTTTACCCAAGCCCAAACAAAGCCCCAGGGACAAGAGAATTGTTCAAGATCCTATGGCAAGTTAGTGACAGAGGAAGGCCTAGATTCTTTCTCAGTGAGTCTAGGGGATTTCCTCCCCAGGGTCCCTATCAGAAAAGGCCATAAGAGGCCACTCGCTGGCTCCTGGAAACTCCTAAGTCTGGGTGAGAGCAAGTGTAACCAGCATCTCCAGCAGAAGGCCCAGGACCTTTCCCCTACCTCCACCAGCCCAAACGGACCCTCCCCATTTATACCAGGGAGTTTGCACACTGGCTTCTTGTTCCCCAATCAGGGAAAGGGAACAGGATAACAAGAGGGAAGCCTATGAAGAAACATTAAACAGTGGCCCATCCCACCACAGTCACCTCCTGCAGAACTAACTAAGCCGACCACCACCCAACCACTGGCCCAAGCCCCTCATATACAGCTTCACTCTCATCCAACCCCAAGAAGAGGGAGCATGTGCAGAGGAACCCTGAGCCCTCTGGAACATCTTGGAAGCAGGGTCCTAAGGAGCCCAATGGTAAGGACAGGGGCAGTTCCCAGGAGCAGGGGGTTTCTGGAGTTGGAGACAGGATAGGGCTGGAGTGCCCCCAGTGTCTTACCCAGCATGCCTTTGTTGGAGTCAGACAGGCACATGTCTTTCTCAGCACTGGGCAGCACGAAGCCCACCACAAAGACCTCAACACCATCAGCCATCAGTGCCAGACCAAGCACGAAATACAGTGTCCACTGGAAACGGCCATGACCACACTCCCGTAGGATGGCTTCATACTGCTGGGCCAGTTCTTCTCGTTCTTTCCGCCGCTGTGCCTCCCCTCGGCCCCCAGGGGGGCCCTCCCCATCACTCAAGCCCCCCCTCACTCCAGCCAGGGGTGCCCCATCTGCCATCCTCTCGCCTTTGCCCCCAGACTCTGCCCGGGGGATACCCTGATATTCCCCCTCATAGATCTCATCGTCCTCATCATGGCCCTCAGTGGCATCACTAGATGCGCCACCTTCCTCTTCGTCCTGAGCCCCTTCCCCACGGTAATAGCCATCAGTGGGAGCAGGGAAGTCATCATCATCATCCTCCTCCTCAAAGCGGGAGTAGGATCTTCGGGAATATTCATCCTGGACTCTGTCTAGGCCCTTCACCACCTTCTTGGCCGCATGCTTCTTGACTTCCTTGGCAATATCTTTGGCCCCACGGATGAAAGCTGCCCGGTCTCGGAAGCCCTCTTCCATGATGGGGCTTTAGGGCACTTCAACGGATCTCCCCACACTCCCTGCTTCTTTTTCAATTTTTGCTCAGGGACTTGAGGAGTCAAGACGACTTGTCCCCGCAGTTAGAAGTGTGTTCCGGTATCTTTGGGCACAGAATAAGAGGAAATAGGACCTGGCCAGTGAGTGTCTAGGAGGGGAAGGAGGGAGAGGAGCTTTGGCCTACAACCAGTTCAGTTGGGTGAGTGGGGAAGGGAGAGGGAGAGCAGGGGATGGGAAGGGGAGGGGGAGCCAGGTTGGTGGGGCTAGGCCAGGATAACCCAGGAAGGGCCGCCTACTTCTCTTCCACAAGCCTCTGGAGATCTATAAAAAAACAAGAGAGAGAAAAAGGAAGCTGTAAGTCCTAAGATGGTGAAGAAAGCCAATATAAAGCAACTCTCAACCCAGAGCCCTGCCTGAGCCATGTGGTACAAAGATGGTCTTCTTGCTTCAAGCCTCTATATTATAAAAACGGATGATTATGTGGACCCCCTGTGGGTCATTCCAGTAGAAGTCCCCTTACTTTGACCTTGGAGACCTGGCTCATGGGATTTGCTCCACAGTCACAGCCACCCACCTTCTCCTAACCCCCGACCCCCTTCGAGTCCAGTCCCCTTGCTTTACCACCAGCCTGCAAAGAACAAAACAGGAAATATGAACGGAATTCCCTTCTTTAGTCTTGTCTGGGTTTCTTACTGGGGACAGAGCTTGAGGAGGATATGTAAGAGGACAAGCTCTCCAACCTGTTGCCTTCAGTCCACTGATGACATCTAAAAGTGGGGTTTCCACTGTTCTTCCCTCAGGTTCCATGTTTATAGGTCTCAACAAGGAGGGATTTTCTCCCAACATAACCTGGTGGGTAAAAGCTGAGCTTCTAGGGTCAGACAGACTTGAATTCAATGTCCTGCTTTGGCAAATACTAGCTAAGTGACCAAGGGCATGTTTCTGAACATCCATGCCTCAGTTTCTTCTTATTTAAAAGAGGGAAAGTAAGGATTAAATGGCATAGTCCATACATGCTACTTACCATAGTACCTAGCACATAAAAAGTGATAAATAAATATTAGCTATTAATATTGTGGTGATAGTAATATGGTAAGATGCCCTATACTACCCCCATAAGGTCCCCAAACAAAAGCCATCTCTGGATGCTCTTTAGGGTGAGCTGCAGAAAGGGATACTGGCGAGAAGAATGCTGATTCAGTACAAAGCACACAACAGTTAGATGACCTCAGTTGAAATCCCAACTCAGCCACTTACTAACCAATCTTGGGTAAGTTATTTAACCTTCTTAAGCCTCAGTGTCCTTATATTTAAATTGGGGATCATTAAATTGGGAGAATCTCTTATTTCTCGGAGTCAATGTGAGAATTTAATCTCACAGTAGACAGTCTATAAATATTAGTTTCCTTCCTTCCTATTATATTGAAATACGAAAGAAGCCAGAAATGGCAAGAGACAAGGGCACAAGCAAGGGGCATACTCAGATGTTTGTTGCCCAGCATTGTCCCCAAACAGAGAGTCCCAAGACCTCTCTGTGTTTAAACCAATTCCAATGGCTAGGCCCACATTTGCTCTCCCCAGACAAACAAGGGAAGACCCAGAAAAGGGAGACCTGGGACCCAAGTAGAATGGACAAGAGGGCAGATTGAAAGCTGAGAAAGGGTGATGACTGGCCACTGCCACCTTCCTTCAGAATGTCATATTTGGGCCCTCCTTCACGAATGGGGTGGGAATGGAAATGGCTAATCAGACTCATACTTTCCAACATGAGGGTCTAAGGTCTATGGTTGCAACTCATTCCTCCAGGGCCTCCCTTCCTAATCCCCTTTAATCCTTTTTGCTCCTCCTCCAAGGATCAAGAAAAAGGGAGTCCACAAATACCGCAGTGCGTAGCAGGCTGGTATAGAATAAGGGGGGCCTTGGGCCTGCCCCCCCAAAAAAAGACATCCTCCAGAGGGAGATGCAGGATAACCTCCCCTTTCTTCATGAAAGCAGAGGCAGCAGGCCTAGATTCTGATCAGAGATCATCCCCCTAAAAATATCCTGCCTCCTCTGCTCCCACCCAACCAAGGCCTTCATTAAATGTCACACATACACACATACACACACACACACACACACACACACACACACACAGGTCTGGTAGAAGAGAGGAAGTAATGCTATGTGATTCAGAGAGAAGCACTGGCAAGCACAGCCTATCCCCCTCAGGACAGATGTAAGCAGTGGACCACAGTGACTAGAAGCAGTGACCCCTATGTCACCTTTTCTTCATGGTTCAGGTCCCAACCATCCTCATTAAAGAGAGGGAACTGTGGAATCTCCTCAGTACATTGCAATTTGCTTGCTTTCCTTTCTTTCCTGAGCAGTACCTCCTCTGAGTCCCCCAAAGAAGGAGGCAGATGACCCACCAGGAGCCATCCCCTATGTCTGTTGACACTATTTACCCCTGAGAGGCGCATGTAAGGTAGAGAAGGCTCCCACAGCCACAGCAGGATATGAGGGCTCAACAGACAGCTCCCCCAGGGCCAATGAGCCCAGAGGTCAGGAGGGAGAAAAAGAAGACAAATTCTTTGAGCTGGTGAGCAAGTGGTGCTATTTTTAGCCCCAAAAGCACACAGGGTGGCTAAGCCTGTGGAAGAGAGACTTGGAGAGGTGGAGGTTAAAGGAGACAAGATTCAGGGTTATCCGGCTCTTTAAGGCTGGCTGGCTTCACCTGACCAGAAAAATGTGCCTAGGAGATTTTCTGTAGAGCGTGGAGACAGGCAGGGGTACTCCTGAGCAAATGCTTCCTTTCAGAACAACTCCCCCCAGCCCTGGATAAGAGGGTCCACAAGCCCCCCCACCCCATCAAAGCCCCTGACTTTGGGGACCACCCAGAACCCCAGCCCACCCTAGCCCAGGTAACAAGGTCATTAAGAAGCAATTACTCATCAAAACATGTGTGGGGGGGTAGAATGTGGGAGGTGTCAGAGCACCCCTCCCCATTACAACTGGGTGAGGAGGATTGGACAAGCAAGGCTGTGCCTCCCTTCCCCACATCCTACCCCAGAGTTAGGAAGATGGAAGCATCCACAGTTCTGAGACGAAAAAAATGAAGGTGTCAGCTGAGAATGTACACGGAGGAATATGGAGAGGCAGAGAGGGGACGCAGGGAGAGACCTCCACACGCACAGACATAGAGACCGCCCCTACCAGCATTTGCGGCGGCCCTCCCCCATCTCAGCTCTGGTATAAGAGAAGAGCCCCTAGAATTGACTAAATCGCTTCTCCTAGCACCTCCCCCACCCTTGGTCCTGCTGCTATATAAGAGCCCAAGTGCCCACCATCATCGACACTCCCCTTCCCCCCCCCCCCCCCCGCCCTGGAGCAAATGCCTCCAGCCCCCGCCATCTGTGCCCCCAACACCTGGTCGTTCACCACCTCTGTCTACCAATATTTCTCCATTCTTCATTTTCCTTCCCTCCATCCTTCACCTGCCCTTCCTCCACTGCCACCCTTCCCCACAACCAAGTCCAGGCGAGCACACTGAGGCAGCATCCACTCTCTGGCCCCAGCCAAGGTCATTTATCATTCATTGGGGGGGGACGTCAAGGTGAGTAAGGGATTGGCGCTTAAGGGAACCCCTTCCCACCTAACAACCCCACCACGACGTTAACCTCCCAAGAGGGTAGTGGGGACTGGGCTAAGGTAGAGAAAAACACCCCTCCTCCTCATTCACTAATATAAATATATATAAATAAATAATATATATGTATATGTGTTATATATATTATATATATAGCTACGTGTGTATATATATGTATGTGTGTGTATATATATATATATACATATATATATACACATATATATATATCCTGACGAGTACAACAACTGAAATAAATGTCCATCCCCAAACCAGCACCAATCTCCCTCACCCCTAGCGGGGACGGTCACCCTCCCCATTGGCAAAGCATCGGAGGATAAAATGGCTGCAAGGCAAGGCAAAGATGCTTCTGCCAGGGGCGGGGTGGAGGTGAGAGATTGAGAGAGGGGTCTCACCTGGGCCGATTCCCCGGGTAAGGGAGTCCCGGGTGAGGGCGGGGGTCCCGGCCGCGGGTCTGAGGCGGCAGCGGCGACTGCTCCGGGTACCAGGGGAAGCGGCAATGCAGACCTGCCCCCCCTCACACACACACTCGGCCCCGCCTCCTCGCCCCTCCTACCCCCCCCCCCCCGCGCCACTGAGCATCGGGAGAGACCATTGTTGGGAGGGGGGAGGCGGAGGAAAAGAGGATGGGGAGGCACTCAGGGCGCTGGGAAGAAATGGTGAAGGGCCTGAGAGGGTTGTCACAAGAACAGCTGGAAATGACACACAGCACTTCCCAGCCCCTTCCTAGTAAAAGACGAAAGGAACTAAAGAAAGAAAAAGTGATGTTAGGGAGACAAGTGGGAAGACAGAAAGGGAAGTGGTGAATGAGGCAGCCCCTTGCTTAGCACCCAACTCCCAGCATGGCAGGACTCCCTCCCTTCCCCTTCTCCACTGCTCCCAGCCAAATTCCTTTCCCACAACCTTCTCCCAAATCCCAAGTGCTCAGACTCCAAGTTTACCTGACTATTTTAGAGAAAGCAGAGATAACAAGGTGTGGTTTCTATCCTGAACTGCCAGAGTCAGAGACTCTTGGATTCCTGCCATCTCTTTCCTCAAGAAACAGTCCAGATTTTTTATTTACAGTGCAGACCTCATTCTCCTCCATTCAGTAGCAGAAGTGAGTATTGGGGAAGCTGAGGAGGTTTCTATAGGTCTGACCAACCGGGCATTTCCACTTCCACTCATTTGTTCCAATGACTCAAAAAGAAATCCCCTCAATACCCTTCTCTGCCACAGACCCTCTCAATCCCCACAAGACCCCTAACATACACTTCTGTGAAGGAGTCAACTGGTGTCGATTCTTTGCTTTTGTCTTTCCTTTGCCCCTATACCAATAACCTGGACTCAGAGATCCAAGACATGCCACTTGGTGACCATGCTTACTTACTCCAGAGGTGAGAGGGTATGTAGTGTTCTGGGGAGGTACATCCCAAATATGTCTATTTCAGGTAAAGGCTTAGGATACTCTGGACAAAGCACTGAGCAGGAGCGCTGACCTGACTTCTAACAAGCTGTCAACTCTTGATCAAGTTCTCTGTTTCTGTGAACCTCAGGTATCTCATCTGGAAAATGGAGGATTGAGTCTAGATGCTATGCTGCATCAGGTTCCTTTCAGATCTAATAGTGTATGATTCTGCTCTACTAAATGTGGAGGTTTCAGAATGCTGGAATAAATTATGTGGAAAGGCTGACAGGCTTTGTCCCAAGAGATCTTACAGATAAAATTTGCCATGTTGAATTTACCACTGATAGGGATGCGGGCCTGGGCTTTGCAGGTTCCAAAGCTGGATCTTGGAAATATTCATTTGTGCCAACAAAGTTCACAATTTACTAAAATATAAAGCCATAATACATAAATATTAATTTCCCATGAAAATTTAACTGTCACTCAGACTGAAAACTCATGTCTACATATCCAGTAACTTCTCTCCCTACAGCCAAATCAGAATCAGAATCTCAATGTATAAATGCACAATGACATAACTGGAGGATTTGTATCTTTAATGGCATCTGGCCATATCCAATAAGGAGTCATGCCAATGGGTCCAGAAAACTCTTTTTGGCAATAGTTCTCTACCCCCACCTCCATGCTGTGGCAGGCAGCCTTGCCAATGCTCCTGGACTACTCTAAATCTGATGGCTAAAGCAGTCTTTCCAGGATGGTACTTGGAACAGACTCAGGGACTTTCCCTTTACTGGGCTTTCATTACTGACCCCTCTTCAGGTTGACACATTCTTTATTTAAATATGTTAATATTTTCAATTAGGTTATAGTGAAGGCCTGCTGGCAGGGAGCCATTTCTTCTCTTTAAGGTGACTTTGCCTACTCTCTATTGAATCATTACTGGCTAAAATAGAAATCTTGTACTCTTAGAAGAAAAGCTTATATAGTCGACCCTCCATATCATTGGATTCCACATCTGTGGATTCAACCAACTGCAGATGTAAAATGTAGTTAGGCTTGTGATGTTTGGGCCTGTGCTGAACATGTATAGACTTAATTTTCTTGTCATTATTTCCTAAACAATACAGTATAACAACTATTTATATAGTATTTACATTGTATTAGGTATTATAAGTAATCTAGAGATGATTTAAAGTGTACAGGAGGATGTGCATAGGTTTTATGCAAATACTACATAATTCATATAAAGAACACGAGCATCCTCAAATTTTGATATCTTCAGGGATCCTGGAACTAATCCCCAGAGGCTGTCAAGGGACAGCTGTGTGTGTGTGTGTGTGTGTGTACATATATATATATTTTTTTTTTTTTATTTTTTTTTAGACAGAGTCTCACTGTCTTGCCCAGGCTACAGTGCCATGGCATGAGCCTAGCTCACAGCAACCTCAAACTCCTGGGCTCAAGCGATCCTTCTGCCTCAGCCTCCTGAGTGGCTGGGGCTACAGGCATGTGCCACCATGCCCAGCTAAATTTTTATATGTATTTTAGTTGGCCAATTAATTTGTTTCTATTTTTAGTAGAGACAAGATCTCGCTCTTGCTCAGGCTGGTTTCGAACTCCTGACCTTGAGCAATCCACCCGCCTTGGCCTCCCAGAGTGCTAGGATTACAGGTGTGAGCCACCTTGCAAGGCCTATTTTTTTTTTTTTTTTTTTGAGACAGTCTTGCTTTGTTGCCCAGGCTAGAGTGAGTGCTGTGGCATCAGCCTAGCTCACAGCAACCTCAAACTCCTGGGCTCAAGCTATCCTCCTGCCTCAGCCTCCTGAGTAGCTGGGACTACAGGCATGCACCACCATGCCCAGCTTGTTTTTTCTATATATATTAGTTGGCCAATTAATTTCTTTCTATTTATAATAGAGATGGGGTCTCATTCTTGCTCAGGCTGGTTTCGAATCCCTGACCTCGAGTAATCCGCCTGCCTCGGCCTCCCTGGGTGCTAGGATTACAGGTGTGAGCCACCGTGCCCGGCCAAGGCCTATATTTTTAAGTTCTGAGGGAAGTCTTAACAATTTTCTGCCAGGGGCCACACCCCCATGTACCCTATCAACCACTCCTTCACAGTCCCCTTTGCTGGATCCATTATCATTAGAAGTCCTAGGGGCTCAGCCATCGAACCTTTCCTTCCTTTCACTTACTTTTCCCCCTGCTCATCTCTGGCAGTCCCACTTTAATGCTGTCTATATGCTGATGATTCTCACATTTATATCTGCAGTGCAGACCTTTCCATGAAGTCCAAACTCAAAATCTCCATCTATTCAATGTCGGTCACCACATGGATCTAATAAGTATATCAAACTGGGGCAGCTAGAATTCCCATGTCTATAGCCTCCAGTCTGAAGCAGCTGCCTCCCTTTACCTCAATGATGTTTCAAATGGTTCCCTGCCATAAATGGGAAAAAGGGCTGAGAGGCAGATTTATGGGAACTCCCTAACTGGCTCTGACCTCAACTTGCCTAACACCAAGCAGCTTTAGTGTGTTTGTTATCCACCATGCTAGAAATCTGTTTCTGCTCAGAAACATCCTATCCACCTGAAAGGAGCTTCTCCTTCATCTTTGCCTGGGAAATTTCTATCTTTCCTTTAACATTAAATTGAGGTATCACTTTTTTCCCTGGAAGTTTTCCTGGACTTTCATGCTAGATAATTTCCTCAGGCTCTCAAAATATTGTTTCACTAACAATCTCTTGTGTCAGTTTTGATAACAGAACTGTCTTGCTTATCTTTGTATCCTCAGCTGCCACCAGCACAGAGCCTTTGTAGGTACCGTAAAAATGTTAAATGAAAAAAAAAAAAAGTTAAATGAATGAGAATAATTCATTTAGAGAGAGAACAGAGGGCCAATCTTACCTTTTCTTGACTAGAATTTAGGAAAGTTCATGGTTACATAAGCTAAAGAGGAAGCTTCAAGAAGGAGGTGATATAACAGGATTAAATGTGGCAAAGAACAGGAAAAAAAGACCCATTGGATTTGGTCTAGTTACTGAAGTCTTTGAGCTCAGATTTAAATGTGATAGAAATCAGGTTTGGAAGGATAGACTATGAGGGGAAAAAATAGGGGTAAGATACAAACTCCTTATCTGAGATGTCTGGTGGTACAGAGAAAAATGAACATTTACTGAAAATGAACTTTTACTCTGTCCCAATTTACTCATTTTAACTGTTTTTGCAATTATGTAAGACATTTATATGACTCCAAATGAAAACATTAACACAGTATACTCAAAGAAACCTAACATCCCCTCATATCCCCTCCGTCCCCCCAGTGGTATCAATTTCCATTAGTTTTTGGGTTAAATTTTTAAAATAGCCACAAATATATATATGCCACACTTAGATTAGGTAGCACACTATAGACATTATTTTCTTCACTTACTATAACCTGGAGATCTCTCCACAACAGTATGCAGAGATCTTTCTCATTCTTTTTTATAGCTGCACAGTACTTTATTGTGTACATTTACCAGTTTATTCAACCAGTCCCTTTCTAATGGATATGTGAGTTGATTCCAATCTATTGTTATTAAAAATATTGCTGCAATGAATAGCTGTGTGCATGTTACTTCAAATTTTTGCCAGATTATTTCCAGGCACTTTACTTCTGTTCTCACTTTAATACAATAATCCTATGCCAGAGATATTGGGTCCTCATCTTCTAAACTAGAAGATAAACACTATGTAAGGATACAATTGTTCTAGTGCACAGCAGAGTCCAGCAACTGTAACAGCACATTAGAGAATAAGCTTCAAAACATGGAGTGAACATCCTCTCTCATACCTTACCATACTTCTCACAATGCCCCATCTCAGAGAAAAAGAGCCAAAGTTACTTTGCCAAAGAAAACACCACAAAGAATAAACAAGGAGTTTAATTTTATTTTCTCTGGGTATTTGCAAAACACTTAGGACCAACATTTAAAAAAAAGAAATACCTCCTGTGGGAAAAAATTACATTAAATGGGGGTGGGGCCATAAGGGATTAGTGCCTTAACCCACTCTGACTGGTCCAAGGACTGGAAAAGATATTGGGAGGATATAACAAGAAGGAGAATGCAAATTTACTGAGGGAGAGGGCCCCGAAGAGGGCCACGCGGGGGAACTGGGGGCCGGGGAGTTGGTCTGGGTGGAGGGAGGGGTCCCCGCTGGTAGCCATAGGGTGGAGGTCGTGGAGGCCCAGTGTATCCATGAGGGGGCATCAGTGGAGGAGGTCCACGCATACCATGTGGAGGCATAGGACCTGGATGACCTGCAAGAAGAGAAAGAAAAGTTGGTAAAAGTAAGAAATAGAAGATAGTTGATGATGGGAGATGATAGGGACACAGTGAGAAGAAATGTAAGAAAGGGCACAGGACAAGGTATATGACAAAGGAAGCTATAAAAATATGACATGTGTGGATGAGGGAGGTGGCTAGAGCCTACTCACCCATAGGAGATCCAAACGGAGGCCCTCGGGGGGGCATGCCCATTGGAGGAGGTCCAGGATGAGGCATTCCAGGTGGTGGTCTAGGTGGTGGCTGTCCCCCAGAGCCTGGGGGTCCTGCGTGGGGGTGTCCTAAGCCATGAGGGCCATGGTGTGCCAGCTGCATCTGAGACATCCCTATGAAAATAAAACAGACACAAGGAGAAAGGAGATAAAAGAGAAGAAGGCAAAGAAAATGGAGAAAGGAAGAACAAAATGAGAAAGTAACATCAGCAAGAGAAGGGTACAGAAAATAAAGATGATAAAAAGTGCCCCATCCCAACAGTACAAACCAACAAACTACCCAATCAACTCGTCACCCTCTTCACTTGCTCCTTCCATAATTTAGGCATTGTAATAATAATGCCAAAGTATATAACAAGTGGAGTGATTACTCTGTTGATAGGATTTGAGAAGGTAGCAGACACAGTGTCTAAGCAAAGAGCTAATTCTAAAGGATGAATAAGAATATTTCAAGAGGACAAGAGAGTGGGAATAGACCATCCCAGGCAAAACGATTAGCATGTGCAAAGCACAGGCATGTCAAACAGCACAGTATGTTCCAGGAAATACCAGTAACTTAGTAACCAGGAGCAACATGCAGTTATTGGAGTGATGGGCAGGGGCAACATCATAAAAAGCTTTGAATGCATTGGTAATGAATTTGGGTTTTAATATGTAGGTAGAAGGGAGCAACAGAAGAATTTTAAGCAAGAGTGTGTGAACATCTACATTTCTAAAAAAATTACTATGTGAAAGTAGATCAAAGGTAGAGAAAACTGGAGTCAAAGTGAGAAGAGATCACTACAATAAATTAAGTGTGAAATAATGAGGGAAGGAGAGCCTGAACTAGACCACTGGCACTGGGGCATCCAGTCTATATAAGAAAGACTTGGGGCTAGGCGTAGTGGCTCAGGCCTGTAATCCAAGTAATTTGGGAGGCTGAGGGAGCAGGATCACTTGACCCCATGAGTTTGAGGCTGCAATGAGCTATGATAAGCCACCGCACTTCAGGCTGTCTGACACAGCGAGATCTTGTCTCTAAAAATAAATAAATAAATAAATAAGACTTGGTATTACAGTGGGGTGATAGGGAATAATCAAACATAGCTTTCAGATTTATGAATTAAGCATCTTAAAACACATATTAGAGGAACAATCAGTTTGAAGAAGTACAGAAAAGTTGAGTTGTCTATTAAGCAGCAGGATTAAGGATCTAGAATGTTAACAACCATGGACTAGAGATACAAATCAAGGAGGCAGCATCAATGTATATGTAATTAAAACAATAGACAAGTCGGGCATGGTGGCTCACGCCGGTAATCCTAGCACTCTGGGAGGCCGAGGCGAGTGGATTGCTCAAGGTCAGGAGTTCGAAACCAGCCTGAGCAAAAGCAAGACCCGTCTCTACTATAAATAAAAAGAAATTAATTGGCCAACTAATATATATATAGAAAAAATTAGCTGGGCATGGTGGCACATGCCTGTAGTCCCAGCTACTCTGGAGGCTAAGGCAGGAGGATTGCTTGAGCCCAGGAGTTTGAGGTTGCTGTGAGCTAGGCTGACGCCACGGCACTCACCATGGCACTCACTCTAGCCTGGGTAACAGAGTGAGACTCTGTCTCAAAAACAACAACAACAACAAAAAAAACCCATAGACATATGCAGAAAAGAGAAACAAGCACAAAATCTAGGCATGAGCAGAGAAAAAGGAGCCTATCAAGGTGGCTGAGATTAAGGAGTCAGAGAAACAGGTGGGTAATCCAGAAAAACTGAAGCAAAAAGAGACTAGAATTTCAAACAAGAGGAGATAGCTAGTTTCAAATACATCAAAGGTCAAACCAGATAAGAAGTCTGGTTTGAAAAGTGTTCCCAAGACTTAGCAATTAGGTCACTGCTTTGAGGTGGAGTCAGAGGAGAGAATAAAAGTAAAGGTTTAGGAAACAAAAGACAGCAAGTATGGTCTCCTCTTCAGAAAAACTTAAATGGAGAGGGTGGTAGCTGTTGATGTAAACAGAATAAAGTATTTTGCGTTTGTTTTAAGAATGAAAGAAAGGAGAGCTCTGAGACTGTTATTGTTGAGAAACAAAGGGAAGCAAAATGAATGGTGATAGAAACTCTCTACCAAGCTCACCCCCCCCCCTTTCCCAATAAACAACACCTACCTGGATGGGGCATCCCACCTGGTGGAAATGGGTGAGGATGTGAGTGTCCATGACCAGGATGTCCTGCCCCTGGGGTTCCTGCTGATGGGGGGCCATGTCCTCCAGCTCCAGGAGGCATAGGTGGTGGAGGCATAGCTGGGGGTATCCCAGGTGGGAGGGCTCCAGGAGGTGGCACTGGGGGTGGGAAGGAGCCAGGAGGAGGCATGCCTATACAGGAAATGGAAGGAGGAGGAGCAGTTAATGGTAGCAAGGATAAAATGTCTTTAAAAAGCCTGTCCATATCTGGCCTCTCCAGGCAGGGAGCTCTTTTCCTCTCCTCCTAACGCTCTAAAATCAAAACAATGTTAGACAACTCAAAAGAATTTCAACCTCCTGGAGAAACCCAACAACTTTTTTCTCTACCACTACCATTAACCCTCAATCCCCTTCCTATTACCCACTGACTTAATGCCCTCCTCTTTCAGGTTCTTTTTTCTTCCTCCTGCCTCTCCCCTCCAACACTAAGACAAACATATTTTGAACCAAAAGCTTACCTGGTGGTGGAAGCCCAGACCCCAACGATGATACCACAGGATTGGGAGCAGAAGGTGGAGGAGGTGCATCTGCAAACAGCTGATGAGGGCGGTCAGCCTGGGAGAGTGGGTTCTGAGCTGCCAGAAGACGTTCAGCTGCTGATCCATGGCGCTCACCCTTGGAGTCCTTCTTAAAAGCGTAAGACACAGTGATAGGGCGGTTACAGAGGTACTGCCCATTCATGGCCTCAATTGCTGCATCCGAAGCATCAAACGAAGCAAAATTAATAAAGGCATAACCCTTGGAGTTGCCTGTGTCAGGGTCCCGCATAATCTTGGGGGTTTGTAAGATGACCCCAAAGGCGCTGAAAGTATCATAAAGCAGCTTCTCATCAATCTCTGGGTCCAGGTTCCCAATGAAAATGTTGGCCCCCACATCCAGGTTTTTGTTGTGAGCTGATGCCTTGTTCACTCGTATAGGTTTCCCATAGAGTTTGATCATGTTCATGATCTTAATGGCATAGTCAGCATCTTCCTCACTCAAGAATTCCACAAAGCCATAGCCTGGGGAAGTGTAGAAGGAAAGGTTAACAACTTAAGTGAAGTGTAATGATTCAAAATGGGGTTTAGCTCACCCACCCTCTAATCACAAAGAACAAGAAAGAAATAACCTCACTTCACTTGAGAATGGTTCCAGAAACAAACTGTGAACCGAAGCTTAAGAGAAAGAAATCTTCAAGTTGTTCATTCCAAAACTATTTTGACTACTACCTGGACCCTCCAGGAGCAGCCTGTCCCTTCAATATATGAATGCACCTTTTGCCACGAACTCACCTTGGTGCTGGCCAGTGACTCTATCCTTTGGCATGTGGGTGTTGACTACTGGTCCTGCCTGGAGAAACAGTTCCCACAGCAATGGTTCGCTAACCTTCTCATCCAAGCCCCCCACGTATACGGTGGCATCTGGGAGATGAGGGCAGGAGTTAAGTATGACAGGAAAGGAGGTGATAGAAACACGAAGGTGGAACCCAGGAAGATAAATTGAGATTGCGAATTGCAGCAAAAGAGGAAAAAAAAAAAAAAGAAAATGTTAGATTAAACCCTTAAACCTCTCTCTTCCCAGGACCCAGAGAATCTTCTGGAGTCTTAGTACTTCTGATGCAAATTCTTTCTTGGTGGATTTTTGTTTGAGTGGAAAAGCAGCAGAGGATTGGATCTTAAAATTATCACACCTACAGGCCTCAGCCTGCACCCTGCCAACCCGACCCCAGCAGGCACGGGGGCGCTCTCGGGGGGTGGGTCCAATCTCCCACTGTGGCGAAACATTGCTGGCCCTAGTAGGGGCCTCCTAGCCCCACTGGGTCCTTTCGGGACTTGACCCTTCCACTTACCCTGGTTCCGCTCCGAGATCGGCCCGGCAGCCATGGTGGAAGAGCTCCCGCCGTCTCCAAGCAGCGGCTCCGCCCTCTGACCTCAATCCCTACTTCCACTTCCGGGGCGAAGGCGAACCAGAGCGGCAGGCGGGGCCGCAGCGGGGGAGGGGCCAGAAGCGACCGCGGCCATCTTAGGGGCTGCAGAGTCTTGACGCAGGTCCGGCTGCTCAGTTTTCGGAACTGCACTGAGGTGCTGTTGCTAGTGGCTATAGCGAGCAGGACGGAACAGAAACGCTCAGACCCTCTTAAGGCACTACTAGACGCGAAAGAATCACACGCTCCCAAAAATGTAAATTCGAAAGCCAAAAGAACAAAACTTTACTTGGAAAGTACTTTGTGGGCAAGTGGTCCTTCTTTTGTTGCCCAGAGAAGTATGTGCTGAGGAATCCCCCAGGTCATGGACTCGGTTGCCTTCGGGCGAGGAGGCAGCCCTGCAGTCTTCGTGCAAATTTGCCCTCACAGCCCTGGTTTGGGCTCGAGGTATTTCATATTCCTTCAGAGGAGGAGATTGCGGACTGTCTGAGCTGGAGTGATGTCTGAGCTCGCCTAGTCCTAATTGCATGACGGCGGGGGGCGGGGAAGTGAGGGGGATGAGGGATTGGAGGGAATCTGAGGCTCCAAGATGGGGTGTGACCAAAGCTGAGGGGTGGCTGAATTTGAAGCTCTGAACGCACTCAGCCCCCCGCCACAACATCTTGATTTGCTCTTGCCCCATCTACTCTAAATGGGAGATACAGAAAAGAGAACCCTCCTAATTGCATATGATTTTTGCAGAGCCTCAACCGACCCAATTCCCTTATTTCTTTAGCAGTAATATAGTGGGTGCCTTCCTCTTTGGGGTCACACTCTACCCACCACTCTTAGCTAACATCCTTTATTCAAATACAGGAAACAGTGTCAGCAATGTGTATAAATACTGTGCTTTAATGAACTCCTTAAATAGAAATTCCACTACAAAAAATACAGAGTTGAGGGAGACAGGGTGTCTCCATATTCACCTCATTCCTGTAGAAAACTATAAGGGAAGAAATAGAAATTGGAATTAAAGAAGCAGCATAAAGGGTTGAGAATGAAGCCTCCAGGCCATCTTGTTGGGACTGATGAACAGAACCTCTGATCTTACAATTTAACAGCTGGTTATCCAAAAGGGATGGAATTGAGCTTAAAAAAGAGGCGGTCACATTCTAGATTGTTTTTGTTTCTTAATTCTTCAAATCACAAGAAACAAAAGTAGCTTCAGGAACCAAACAAGACAGGACAAGAGTTGGAGAAGATGAGCACCACTGTCTGTAATGGAAACTCAAGTCTATTAAGTGAGCTTATTCAAGGGCTGGATTTTGAAAATCGAGGCAGCAAGGCCAGACAAGAACAATGGAAGAATTAGACAAAACCCTCCCTCATCCCAGATCCCCCTCTGCCCTGCGTTTGAGAATGCCAATAATTTCAGTGAGATTAGGAGAGAATGGTGTTTGGATTTCTTTTCTTGGAGTGGTCCTCAGGGGATATTCTTGGTGTCCATTTCCTTAATAGCTCCTGAAGATGGAAAAGCTCATCCTGGAGGCCAGAGACTGTGGGAGCTGAGAGGCCCATCTTGGGAAGAGACAAAGGAGGGGCAGAGAGGAATATTATTGCAGCTCTAGCCCTCTGCTTCTCAGATATCCACTACTTCTGGTGTCTTTAGTTCTCTTTCACCTTCCATCCATGCCCTAAATTCCACTTAATCTAAGCCACAAGCAGTTTCCCCCACCTCCTATACTCCCAAACCTACCCAGTTTGATACCAACAGAAATGCACGTCACTTCCCAATCCCCCAGTCCCCTCGCCTTTCCAACTCTTGTTCATCTGGTTCAACAGTCCAGTCCCTTCTCCCACTCCCAATCACTGTTTTCCCTTCTTACCTGGACCTCAGGCCTTCCCCTCAGGTAGCAGCGTCTCCAGAGCCTGATCTGGGGTCCCAGATATCCAGGCAGCAACAGCCCTGGAGGTAAAGGGCAAGCTCCCCAATGTGAGGGGAGCCCCCATTCCTGGTCAGCCAGGCTTTCAGAAGAGATAGCAGGTCGAGGGAGCCAACGAGAAGAGACTGCCAGCAGGAAGGAACTGTCCCGCCAAGGACAGAGCTGATTCAGAGGGGTCAGTGCCCCTCTAGAGAAGAGCCACATAGAACTGGGGGGTCCAGGAACCATGAAGCTTGGCTAAAAGGGAAAGGAAATAAAATGGCAATTGAGAAACCAAATAAACGTAGTTTCCCCAACCTGAGTCAGGAAGGGGTGTCCATCTGCCACCCAGTCATTGCACTAGTGACTAGAACTACAAGCCTCCCTCTCAGAATTCTACTCTCATTAAGCTTCAGGTAGGCCTCAGGACTGATTAAAGTTGGTTTTAGGGAAACCTGTAAAATGTGTGTGTGAAACAGGAAGATGAGTAAACAGACTTGAGGAAGACAAAAAGGATGCCCTCTGTGCTATTCTAGGATTTCTGCCTTCCTAGAGACAGTCAGGGACTATAAATCCAGCTGCAGAATAGGAGTGGTGTACCTTCCCCTGAGGAATGCAGACACCATGTCTTTCTACTCCCCATCTAGTAGCATGAGCCCATGGGAAAGTCAAGGAATTTAGGACGTTTAGACACTTCACCTGCTGTCTAGGGAGCCAGGAATCTGGGCAGTGCTCTGGGTCATAGCCAGGATTATGGAATTGTAGTATCTGTTCATTGCTATAGCGTAAATCCCAGTCCCAGACAGACAGCTGCAGGTTCGTAGAGTTCCCAGCTGGGGGCTGGGAGTACCCTGGAGTGTAGACTTGTGTATAGGAGTTAAACTGGACAGAGGAAGCAAGAAAATGATGGTTACACACACACACACACACACACACACACAAATTATAATCTCCCAAATATAGAGACAAATCATGAAACTCTCATGTCTTATTCTAGAAATGAGATGTAGGGGGAAAGTCTTGTCCTGAAACTGAACATCAACTTACCCCTCCCCACCCACAGTCCTCACTTCTCATAAAACAAATTAAGAATAAACTTCAGAAAGTACTTCTCAATGAGGAGCAAAAAAAAAAAGACAAGTTAAAAATAAAAGTCACTGACCTGTCCACTCTGCTTTCCACGCTCCCAGGGAGTATCTCTCAGGAAAGTAAGGGTGTCAGGAACCCTGACACTGTCATGAAGAGCAAGAAGGAAAAACTCAGAGAATTCAAACTCAGCTGGATACTGCTGGAGGAGCTGCCATACGCAATCAAGGAAGAGGAGAAACACTGGGGCCTGAGAAGGGAGAAATTAAGAGGTTGGAAGGAATTATGGGGACTTAAAAGGGACGATGACAAAATGATGGGGATGGGGGTACACAGGGAACCAGAGGCACTAAAGAGGTCAGGGAATGAAAATCTGAACTGAGGGTACTAGGGAGGTGTGGGCCCTTACTTATCTGAGTCTTCAAGCTCAGCCTAACCTCAGGACACTTCTAACCTGATTCACCTTCAATGGATTGTACTATATAATTTTCTCATTCCTTTACTTCTTTAGTCATAACTCCCTCCATACCCGCCCAAATTGTTCTCACCTCTTCACTGGCCCCAGTTCCCCCAAGCCGGGTCAGGAAGGGGTGTCCAGATGCCACCCACTCTCGCTGCACTAGTGACTGGAAGCCAAACAGTGTTCGGGCTTCGGGGGCTGAAAGCAGCTGGACGAGTGAAGAGAGGAGGCCATTGAGATCACGATCACTGCGCTCTGGGTGATAAAGAGGAAGAGGGGACAAAGGGGGGTCCAAGAAACTAGGGCAGGAGAGAATGAGAAGAGGAAACATGGCAAGGAGCAGTGAGAGGCACAGAGGGCAAAAGTTGGGGGCAGGTAGGATTGGGCAAGCACATAGAAGTGAAGAGAAAAAAAGACCTTGAATAATTCACTTCATAGACTCCACCTGGTTAGAAATACCCAGTTTCACATGTAGAAGGCAGAATCAATTCTCAAACCAACTTCCTCATTGCTCTTCCCACCCCCACCCCAGTCCCCATCCACTGATGGAAGGAAGGGAACAGAGCGGCTAAGAACATCTTAGTGGTAAGGACCACAAGTTGCAGTGGGGAGGCAGAGATAGCACAAAAAGATGAGAGTTAGAGCTCATGGGTAGTTCCCAGGAACAGGAGAGGAGTAAGCCTTATGGGTCTACCTTCCTGAACAGAATTTAGTCAGGTGGATAATGGGAAGGGGCAAGGAACAGAGTGGGCTGACCCAAGGAACTCACCTTGAAGTACTACAGAACGAACCCTGGATGTTACTAATACTGATACATCACTGGCCTTTCGGAGACAAGACCTGGGAGTGGGGGGCAGATGAGGAAGAGGGAATAAGAATGATAAGCCTGGGGGAACGGAGTCATGGGTAATGGGGTGGAAAAGAGGCAGACTCCAAAATCCTTCCCCCTCTCCTTCTAATGAGCAGCAAATAAGTCTTCTTAGGAAACCAAGAAGAGTTAACAGAAGGCCATTTAGGAATCCAAGTTAACAGAAGGTTGGGGAAGGTGAAATTATAAATGATGGCTAGAAGAAGGGGGAGAGTACCTGACATAGTCCAACCACCGTGTTCCTTCCAGGGCTGAAAGCCATTTATCCTCAGCTACAGACGAATCTGATAGAGGGTGGAGGGATTGGAAGGGCAAAGAGATTAGGAGGACTCAGGATGCAGGTTTCAGGTCTAGAGCCTGATGGGTTAAGAATAAGTTGAGTAGTGGTTGCTTAGGGTTGAGAATAGGAATGAAAAGTAACTAAATAGCCATGAGGTTTCTAAAATTAAATTGTGGTGATGGTTGTACAACATTATTAATACAAATTGAATTGTATACTTAAGATGGGTGAAGGGTACATTTTATGGTATGAACATTATATCTCAGTAAAGCTGTTTTTAAAAAAAGTAAGTTGGTGTCAAGACAAGAAATCAGTGAGTCAGGCCAGGCCAGGTGGCTCACACTTGTAATCTTAGCACTCTGGGAGGCTGAGGTGGGCAGATGGCTCAAGGTCAGGAGTTCGAAACCAGCCTGAGCAAGAGCGAGACCCCATCTCTATTAAAAATAGAAAGAAATTAATTGGCCAACTAAAAACATATATAGAAAAAGTTAGCTGGGCATGGTGGTGCATGCTTGTAGTCCCAACTACTTGGGAGGCTGAGGCAGAAGGATTGCTTGAGCCCAGGAGTTTGAGGTTGCTGTGAGCTAGGCTGACACCACGGTACTCTAGCCCAGGCAATAGAGTGAGACTGTCTCAAAAAATAAAGAAAAAGAAAAAAATCAGCGAGTCTGTGGAAGATGGGAGTAGAGTAGAAAACTAAGGATCATTGGGCTAAAGAGTTACTCATCTAAAGTAAGCAAATGAGTAAACAGGTTAGGGTCAGCAGACATAGGGGTGAGGGCAAGGGGTCAAAGGTTATTCTTACCAGGCAGGCAGAGGGCCCTCAGCCTCAAGTGGGCAAGTTGGACATCTGCAAGACTAGGCAGCTCATCCATAGTGTCTACCAGGACAACATCTGAATGTGCAGCCTGGAGCATTGCCTCCACTGCTCTGGAGGAGAGGGAGTTAGGAAATAAGAGGAGTCTGCTCTGGATACCTAACCCTTAGTTCCTCTCATCAAACTTCCCCTCACCTGACATCCTCCTTGTTAGGGTCACTAGCTGTACAGAAGCCTCCACAGCGGAGAAGATCACTGCCCCCAGGGTGATGCCAGGACAGGCGCTTGGGATGAGTGAAGAAGAGGGTGGCTGTGAGAGAAACTCCTAGCCCCAGGCTACCCTTGCCCCCACGCTGACCTCATAGGGATCCCTCCTTCCTTGTCCCCAACCTCCCATGATCCTCTATCCCCAGCCATTGCCCTAACCCTCACACTCACCGGTCCACGGCCCTGATGGAAATGGCCAAATGCTCTCCTGACCTCACTGTCCAGAATCCGATTAGGGACCCAGAAGTAACGAGAAAGGCTATAAAATTGAGAGTTATGTCACAGCTTGGCTCAGTGACTTCATTATAATGTAAAACTGTTATTCTTGTAATTCCTTGTGAATCCACTTTGGAGGGACAATTCATTCCAAGGGGTCTCAGGTTTAAAGATCCAAGAGGTAAGAGGATAGCTTTGTGGATGTCCTAGGAGGCTGAAGTTTGTGGGAATTCCTAGCTTGAGGATCAGGGAACCATGGGAAGATTGGGAGGGCAGCAGGTGTTGTGGTAGACTGGGAGATCACCTGGTGGCTACGTCGAATCTCTCATTGACAGTGCTGACCCTCCAGCCTCTGGCTCCCTGCTTCTTCCGCTCAGTCTCCCAGTCTTCTGATGTCTCCAAGAGAGGAATAGGTGGTTTTCTGGAACCAGAACCCTGGCCTGGGGCAGGAGTGAAGCACAGAGGAGGAAGAAGAGGAACCAGAGACAGCTTCTTAGCTGTTTTTCCTGAGCCAGTCTCTGCTTTTTCAGACTCTTTACCCTCTCCTTAACCTAAAGCACCCTCACTCACCAGCCTTGCTCAGGGTTATCCCTGCATACTGTTGGGCTTGACTGCTCTGAGCTCTGGCTTGGACAATGGCCATGGTCACCTGTGCAGCAAAGGAATAAGGAGAGAAGCAGGGGGAATGACGAGAGGGATGCTGGGGAGGGGGAGGATTAGGAACTGCAGGGAGAGGATCCCAAGGTTCTAAGGAGAGGAGGGATTCTCAGGTTAGGGGCCTCTTACCTGAAAAGCCTGAGGCTCTAGTCCTCCAGCCTCAAAACCAACTCTTAGCAGCCGAAAGTCTCGGCCATGAATCAGAATTTCCTCAGGGATAAATTTGAGCAGGGACCCTGGACGGAGGAGCTGGACTCGAGACAAGCCACTCACTGAAGTCAAGAGTTAGGGAACAGTGTAACATGGACCAGGGTCCCTCTAGAAGGAACTCTTCTAGCCCAACCCACTCCACCCTTGGCTGTTTTCTGAGAATAGGAGAAGGATGAAGAGGGGTGTTGGAACTCCAACACCTCCTTCACCAAACCCCCACACTTACCAGCCTCTAATCGTCCAATATTGACAAGGGCAAAATCATATTCACTGCTCAAGGGAGTCTCCTAGAAGAAGCACATGACTGATGCTACAGATATCTGAAATAAACCTCATTTTCCTACCTTGGCAGCCCCCAACCCCCTCAAGGAGACAACACCCCTAGAAATAGTCCCCGTTGACTATTGCTGATATAGTCAAAAGATTGCCCTTAACCCATAATGTTTGTCTAAAGCCTTCTAGACTCCCCTGCCTATTTCCCACAGAAAGCTGTCCTTTCTGTTGCTCTAACCATCTCACCTGACTCCGCTGCCATCCACAGGGCTGGAAGATGACCCTGAAGTTTGTACAGATCAGGGTTCCAGACAATTCAGGTTCCAGCCCCTTCCTCACTCCTGTAGCCCATGCTAGGATCTGCTCCCCTGAAGGGGAAGAAAGGAAGCCAGGTTATGACTATTCCCAGTGTTGCCCCCACTGGAGTGCACCCACTCCTCTGACACAGGGGATCTAAAGAGGGAAGATTAAAATCTTCCCCTAACCTCACTGGAGTGTAAGCTTATGAGGAAAGAAGAATTTGTATTTTTTTTTTTTTTTACCTCTGTAACTAGAACAAGGCCTGGCATAAAATAGACACTTAAGTATTTACTAAATAAGTAAATGAGAAAGGGGTAACAGGGTCAAGAAAACTAAGGGAATATCAAGTCCACACTCTCAGCCGCAGTAAATAGAGGAGAGAGCCAGTCTCAGGCAGAAGCACTGTGAGTCAGGAGAGGAATGCAGAGGTATCTCTGATGAGGGATGAGGTGAGGTTGGTGTAGGATGAAATTTGGAGGAGACTTTGGAGATCAGAAGTATTGAAAGGGTATTATTACCTGGGAGGCATCCAGAGGCCAAGCAATCGCTAAGCTGACGACTCCTGAGCTCCGGCATCCTGCCTCCCTGGACAGACTTTGGTCCTGAAAGCTGCAAAGGGTACAGGGTTAATCCCCCGGCTTCCCCAACCCCGGGGTCTGGGATTACCTCAGCAGCAGTCTTGGGAGGCCTACACTGAGACTCTCAAGGGAAACTGAGATCAGTGTTGGTGGGGAGCTGAGGACCGGAGCAGGGCTGGCAGACAGTAAAGGGAGGAGCTGGTTAATGGATAATGAGACGACGAACTTGAGACTATGAAAAAGGCAGACCAAGCTCCATTAAACGAAGGGTGATATGACAGGCACACCCTCCTCCTCCTCTAGATCCTTCCCCCCCTTTTGTCTCCACCTCACCCTCTTGCTGACCCCCCAAATTCCTTCTCCTTACCCCCATCTCTGGCTCCTCCTTCTGGGGGGCAATGTTGAAACTCTGGCCCCGGCCCCCCCACCACATTTCTCTGGCTCCATCCGGGGACGGAGCAGTTAAGGGTGGGAAACTTCAAGGATGCTCAGCTCCCCGGGGAGAAGCTGACTCTTGTTGTTGAGAAGAGGGATGTTCGGGAGAGGGGCAGGGGGTTGGACACAAGGAAAAGGAGCATTTGAGGTGCACGGAGCACAATTTGGGGGTCTTTTGAAAGGTGTGTCCAGTCCAGCCTGAGTAGGCTCCTCGGAAACTTCAGTCGACTCTGGAAAGGCTGGAAGGGCGAGAGATGCCCAGCCCCTTAAAGGAGAATACACACAATTTTGGAAAAGTGGAGAGGAAATGGAGGAGCCTGAGAAAGATGGGGGGAAATGAGGGACTGGGAGAAAAATATCCAGATCCCCTTCTTTACTCCAATCCCAGATCCTATTCTCTTAGTGTTCATGAGTGTAGGGGGCTGTTTGAAGGGAACTGTAACACCGGATTACCAAACTGGAATAATTTGGGCTACCTCTTTGGAGTCCCTCAGTGACCTCCCTGGGAAGCTCAGGGTTTGTTTGTCTTCTTAAAGGGGGTGGAGGTATGGGAAGGGGCATAGGTAAAAGTAGTTCAAATCTCATTACTGCCCACCCCCAAACCTAACAAAAGTGGTTGAAATGGGGAAGTTACTAAAAATTGGGTGGGGGAGAAAGAGGTGCAGGAATTTAGGGGTGAGGGTGCTGCTTAAAGTATTTTTATTTATCTTTCTCCAGGGAGTATGAAACATATCTCATGTGGAGTGCAATGGACAAGTATGGAGAAATATTGAAATGTGCCCCAAATGCACAGTACAGGTATGTTTGTGTGCAAGTCTTGTGGACGAGGGTGGGCAAAGGAAAAGATCTTAACCACTCAACCCTGCCCATCGCACAGACACACACCTCAGCCAACCAACTGGCAGTTAGTGCCCATTGGAGGTATAAGACTCCACCCCTCCATCCCAGACACCAGATCTCCAAATGAATGATTCATGTTCAAGACTTTCAAAGCTGAGGGCTGGAAACCTCTCTTCAGCTCAACAATTCCATCTCCCCTCCCTCCCCGCTGCAACCCAAGAAGCAAAGATGGGGGGCCACTAGGAGGGAAGGAAAGGAGCTGCTGCCAAGGGTGACTTGGGGGCAGCAATGCAAAAATCTTTATTTAGATATGAAATAAAATACAAAATAAGAGTTAATGAGCTGCTGTTTTATTGTTTTTGAGTCTACAGAGGCAGCAATCCTTGGGTGGGGGACCCCAGTTTTCCAGAGTGACATTCAACCCTCCCATTTCCCCAGCGCACACACCCTTCTGGCCTCAGCTTTTAAAGTTCCCTGTCTTGGCTGCACCTGTGGAAATAGTGAAGTATTGTGAGACAGGAAGTCAGTCTGGAACAAAGAGGTATACACCTGCTAGGAAGGTGGCCCAGAAGCCTTATTCTCGAAGTCCTAAAGGCCACCGAGCACCATCATCCCACTTCAACCCCCTGCATTCTATGGGCCTCAGCTTTTTGGGGGAAGAAAATACTTTCCAGGGTCTGCTGTAATAAGAAAATAGATTACAGTAGGAGGTGTATACCACAATTTTAAAATCCCGTTACCCACTTTCCTTCTCCCCACAACCCTTTATTCAAGAGCCTCATTCTATTCTTTAATACTTGGAGGTATGGAAACAATGGAGGAATACAGAGGGGAAAAAAACCATCAGGGGATGGGGGGGGAATCAGAGGGAGAAATAAATTGGGTGATTTGGATCAGCACCTAACCAGGAATGCAAAGGGGCAGTAGCTGAGGGTTAATAACAGGAAGACTATCTCTCACCATCCCCAACTCACACTCAGTAGACGTTTACTGGATGAAAGGAAGGGTGGAGAGGCAAGGGGCTGTATCAGATTTTTCCATTTTCAGAATCCTTGTCTGGCTGCAGGTTTGTGCCAGGAGTGAAGGCTGCTAGGAGGGGTAGCTGGAGGAGGGAGGTGGAGCTGAGTGACTCACAAGATGAGTCACAGATCCAGTTATAAGCACAGAAAGAGGCCAAGGTCCTTCCCATCCCCACTCCTCCCAGCTGCTGCCAGCCAGCTTCCGTTGTTCTTTTCTACTTCCCCTTATGCATGTGGCCGATAAAGGGAGGTGGCTCAAACAAAGTCTATATGGGGACATCATAATAAACATTTTGTTAATCAACTTCAGTGTGTGTGTGTGTGTGTGTGTGTGTGTGTGGGACACCACGTGATTTGCAGACTGAGTATCTGCAAAGTACAAGAAACAGAGTGCCTGTATGACTCATCTGAATCTGCAGTTGAAAGGCCTGGAGGGAAAAAAGGAAATTAGAAAAATCTGGGGTGCAGGTGATTCTAGGGGCTTCTAATTCTGTCTTCTCACCTGTGGCTCTATATCTGCAGCACTGACTCCTTGGAGAAAGGACACAGAGTCTAGAGGTGACTGAGTAACTTAAGGACAATCATCTCTGAAATACTCCTTTATTGAGGAAAAAATGACTAGAACCTTGGACACATGGTTAAAAGAAGTATGAATGGCAAAAGCTAGGTTCTCAGAATTCATTCACAACCCGCTTCATTCTTTTGGGCTCAGTATCACCTCCCAAACACACAATTTGAAATCACTTCTAATTTTTTAGTAGTCTGTGGGCTTTAGTTTTGCTTGAGAAGAAACTGAGCCAATAGAGGGAAGGTACTTCCAAGGCCCTGTACAGCACTGTTTAACACTATCCCCATGCCTTAAAGAGATTGAACCTTTAAAAAAATTGTTTTTATATAATCTTTTTATTTGATAAAAACCAGTATGGGGGTAAAACTTTTGGTTAAATCTTGTAACTTTCAATAAAACCAGCATAGGGTAAGGAAGAGATTCAGAGACCAATCCTTAGTATACTTGCTCCATTGGAGATGGGGTAGAGAATGTAGCAGGGAGGGTAGCACTGTCTTAAAAGGGGAAAAATAAGAACCATGAATATCTCCCCCTTTCATTAAAAACTTCAGTAGGAACTGCAGATGCCTTGGATTAAAGGAACTAAGTGCACTTAAATTTAAGCCTGAGAGATGATTATCATCCCTCATATAGGGTTACAGCATCTACCTTTCCCCTTTCACTCACATACCCCTCCTTAACTAAGGAATTTTTGCTCATTTTGAGTGCATACAACATACCCCTTCTTTCTTTCTCCCCAACACAGTAACTGCATGGGCTTGCCTCTTCCACCCCCAAATCTTCCCAAAATACCACAGCTGATCTGAGTCTGTCTTCATTTCCCAGGCATTATGCCTTTACCTCCCATCCCACTCAAACCCTCCCCCCAAAATAAAGCAAAACAAACTTCACTATCCATTATAAAAAGATATCCATTGTCTCAGGGTCCATCATCTTTAAAATGGAGAAGCTTTTCAAAGCCTCAATAAATAGTTACCTTCCCAAATAAAAAATAATTTCTTAATAAAAAGCTATAGGGCCTAATGCCCTATTTTGCCATATGAACCCCTAAACCACCCATCAAAATTTCCATCTTTTTTTCTTTGAAAAGAATGCAAAGGAATTGGGATTGGCTAATTTATAAATAAAAACAAAAACAAACACAATGCAAGGTTTCTGTTTTTGTTCATTTGTCCTTAGTTTTTAAAAACAAAAGTATTAACTAGAATCTAAGGATCAAATCCAAACACAGCAGTCCAGTGGAGAATCAGACTTTTCTGGTTTTATTCTCTGGGAAAACCCTGGTCTGTTTCTATTCCTATTGGTTCAGGCCTATCACCCTATGATAGGCCTTAGGGAAAGGTAGGTGAGCCATGCAAATTCAGGGTGTTTGAGCCACTTGTTTGGTGTGTGATAGGGGATGGAGGTGTCACACAGTAGTGGTCTCACCAGTGTTGGTCAGGGGTGAGCAAGGCACTCACCTTGAGCACAAAATTTAAGGGGTGCCAAAAAAACCCACTAACCAAGATAAATACTATTTTAATGCAACATTTTTTTAAAAACTCAAAAATGTAAAAAAAATTCATGATGAACAATGTATCAAAAATTTAAAGACAGGACTCATCCCATACTTGCTCAATTTAGCCTCACTTCCCTCACTCTAATCAAGGTCCTGTCAGATCCTGTCTTTAAGATTCTGCTATTTTGTTCAACATGAATTTTTCACATTAATTTTTTTAAAATACCACAGTTTTAAAAAAGTATCTTGATTACTCGGTTTTTTTGGTACCCCTTAAATTCTGCACCTGAGGGGAGTGCTCATCTCATATTAGGTTCCAGACCTGCCCATAGAGACTTCCCCTCCTTTGGAACATCACTGTGTCTTTAAAAGCAATCTATTTTCAAATAAAAGCCTAAGAATGAATAACCATAGGAAATGAATGAATGAATCAACAGACTATCAGATTTGGAAAATAAGTGACTTTTGAGTTTGCTGAGGAGAAAGCAATCTATCTAAACTGTGAGCAGTTCCAGCGAGGAGGCCAGTCTTGGCTGGCTTTGTTCCTGAGGAAGAATGGGATGAACACTTTTCAGACTGGGCAGAATGAACATTTGCAATTGAGTCCCCCCCAACACACGCACACACATACCCCTGCCCCATCCATGTGTGCCTTAGATCAAATGTAGGGATTACATTCCATGGGATGGATTGTGAGTACATAACTCAAAGAGAAATCTAAATACAGAAAAACAGCCCTAGTAATACTCTGGACACTTAAGTACACTTATTCCCCTTCTTCATATGCACCCAGGAGTGTATACAATTGCATAGCTGATTTATTTTCCCAGAAAAAATATAAAGAAAAAGGAATATTGGCCCAGGATAGGTCTTCCAGTTTAAAGCTCTTAGAAATGGCTCTGGCCAGAGCATAAGCTGTCCAGACTTGTGCTTTGTGCAAAATGCAAAGGAGCTCCCCCTACTGTGTCCCCAACCCACTCCCACCCCCTAGAGAACAGGGTTGGGCCAGGGAAAGGGAGAAATCCAAAGACAGATCAGCTCATTGGGAGTAATCTGTGATCTGTGGTTATAGTTCACTAAAATATACTTCTCTAACTACCTTTTTATAAATTGCCCCAACCCATACCCCATGTTTCAACATCAGTCCTATTATCAAAAATATCTCTTCTTACAAAGTATTTTTTTATTATTTTAATAAACTAACCACAGATTAAGGTCAGCTATGGCTTAACAAAAGAAGCCAGGATGTTAAGTTCATTCTCCAAAAGTAGAGAGAAAGGAGAAAGAATCACTTAAGTAGGAAAAAAAATCACTTTTTAAAATGTTTTTGCTTGTTGGGGTCTTTTTGTTTCTTTTCCTTTAAAAAAAATTAGTTAATAAAATAAGTTGCTTTCTACAGAAATGCAGCAGCCAGTTACCACAGAGGATGGTAGTGCTCTATTTAGGTTTTTGGTTTGTTTGAAACAGTCTGGCTAAATGTGTCATTCCCCTATCCCTCTCCAAGTTGCACTCAAAAGCCAATGTACGGTTATTGCTAAGTAGTTAAAAAACAGATCACCTCTGCACCAATTCACCTGGAGAAAAGTCAACACACACAGCTGCTCTTCTCATCACTCTCTTCCCCTTCCCAAAGGGAAATTTTTTGTTTTTAAATAAGTCTTTTTTAAAAAAATCATAACCCTTCTTAACTTAGCTGAGCTCAGCCCTCAGAAAGGATGAGGAAAAGATAGGGGGCAATCTCCTCTCAAACTAGAACTGATGACAGATGACTGTTTAGAAGGAAATAAAACTCAAGAGGAAAACGATTCCCCTTTTAAGTTCCTCCCTTTCACATCTCAATAAACTGTGATTTAAACTACCCCCTCCCTCCTAACAAACACCCATAAGCACACTGCCTTGTCTTTCCAAATGTCAGGAGAATTTATACAACCCTAATTTCTACCTTAATTCAAATCAATAGCAAATTTGTCCAATTTCCAAATTCCCTCCACACTCCCAATTCTACCACCATGTGCTTTTTTTCCAACCTAAAAAACTTTGGTCTATTTTTTTCTTTTTTTTACTGAGAACCTCCTTGCCTATTCCTCCTCCCGGACTTCTGCCCACCTCCCCCACAGACACCCAAATCCTTCCCCTACTACTTTTCCTTAGGTCCTGGGATGGGAGCCAAAGGGTTATAAGATAGAATCACCACCTTTCCCCCCTTGTACCTCCTTAGTCCCATCAAGTCAAGCTCTACAAAGGAATAGTAGAGCCCTTGAGGCGCCATTCAGCCCTGACCTGCTCTTGCCAGCCTGGCAACACTCCAGTGCAGACACACTTAAAAGTTTCCAGCCAGGCTCCCACAAATATTACTGCATTTGTCCCGTCAACATGGGGGCTGGGTCTTGATGAGCCAATTAGTTGAGCTTAACCTTCTTTGTTTAGCCACCTTGCCCTCCAAGGTTTTACCCATTCAGAACCTGTGCACCAGTAGCTCCCCACCCGGTTCACGTTCCCTCCTCCTCAGTTCTTCCCTGTAACAGCAGGAGCAGAAGTTGTTTGTCTCAGGGTGTCCATAGAAGCTGCAGTTCGGTTGTTTGCATTTGGTCTGGGTTGGGGGAAGCCCTTGGGGACCTCCAGCCCATCCATCTGGCTCAGGGGGCTCTCTGTAGCCGTTGCTATAGGAATCAGCCACGCGGAAGGGGGATGGTAACAATGCACCCCTGTGAACTCCATCTTTGGAGTGACTGCCTGGCTCCAGAGAAGAGATGCTGTCCTGGTGGGGGTAGGGTCGCCCAGGAGGGCACTGTCTGGGAAAGGTAGCATATGGTGGTAGGCCCCCCCCACATGGACCCCCTGCCAACTGCCTCCGGGGTTCCTGGCAGTGGACTCCACCCCCAGAAGGTCGAGGGATAGTAAAGCCCCCAGGATAGCCAGTAGAGAATGCCACTGCCTTGGACTCTGCTGGGGTGGCAGTCAGTTGCTCCTCCCCGCCATCTGGCTCTGGCTTTTTGGCTGGAGGAGGCCCACTCCCTATTCCTCCATTCATGATCTTCCTCTCTGCCTCCTTCTGCTTCTGTTCTGCCAGGAATCTCTCCTCAGCATCAGAAAGGTAGCGCTGGATCATCTCCTCCTGATACTGGTGACGGTGACCCATCTTCAGGGTTCCAACAAAAATAAACTTCCCCTCCCCTTGCATTGCAATCCTCATAATGCTCAAGCTTTGCATCACCTCCTGGCTATACTTGCTCCCTCCATTACCAACAGACTCAGATGTGGGCTTCTCAGATACTGGCCCATCCCCAGCTGCCTCCTCCTTGCTACCCTTCCAGCTCTTCAGTGAGTTTTTCTTCTTCTTCTCCAGTGTTTCAGTGCCACTGCTTACCCCTGACCCCGTTCCCACCCCTCCAGGCTTAGAACCCTTGCTGTGCATCAGGCCTCCCATGTTTTTCTTGAGCTTGCTGCCCAAGGTTTTGCCAAAGCTGCCCAGTTTGTTAGCCACAGAATCTGCTCTCTTTTTGTCCTTCTCCCGATCTCGCTTGGACTTCTCTTTCCGCCTGCTGCCCTCATTGCTGGTAGAACTGCTGCCAACTGACTCCTTGTCTGAGTCTCCAGACTCAGGAGTGGACCGGGGCTCATCACCAGCTGAGGCTGTGGGGGACTCAGGCTGAGCCAGAGGAGCCTGCAAGAGACAGAAGAAGCAGTTTGACAGTTATCTCATTGATCTGGGTGGGAGAAGCCCCCAGGGACCTCTGCCCCACCCATCTAGCTCTCACTATATGGGTGAGCTCCCTACAGCCATCGCTATAGGAATTGGCCGTGTGGAAGAAGGGTGGTAACACTCTTATGAACTCCATCCTTGGAGTGACTACCTAGTGACTGCCTTGTTCCAGAGAAGGGCTGCTGTCATGATGAGGGATGGATCACCCAGGAGGGCACATCCTTCCCTGGCTCTAGTTCTCTTACGGGCTGAGAAAAGATATATCTGATATTTAACATTTATCTCACCCACTGCAATTTGACTCCCTTCTGTAATAAGGAGACTTCAAAATGAAAAATTGACTGTTCTTCTATAGCAATGAGCAACCGTACAATACATGCCTCTTGGTGAGAGGCCCAGACACTAGGAATGTTCTTTGTTATAAATTTCTCTATGCTAAATTCTGCTCAAAATTAATCTCAAGGAAGTCTTGACTAATTACAACCAACCAAGCCTAACTATTTTGCATCTCCTCAACTTTTATACATTCAGCATTGGAGTTCATCAATTTCCCCTTGCTCCTGTGTTCCTGGTCTAGCTCAGAACCCATGGAATCTGGAGCTCTTTAAGCTATTCTGTCTCCATCTGGTGTCCAAAACAGAGGTCTATCTACAGAGGGCTTGGGATAATGTCATGATAATCTCAAGTTTAACAAAAAAAGTCCAGAAAGCTTTCTTAAAGGATGTGTTTTAGTATCAGAAAGCAGAGCCTGGTTGGAGAGGAGATGTGGAAAACAAAGGGGACTAACGGGTGAAAAGACAGGAAAAATCTGACATTTTCTAACCTTGAATCATAAGCTACTACTCAGATTCAGAAGACCACTACCAGATCTCCTTGTTCTCCCTGTCACTAAAAATGAAGACACACTAGGGCAGGTGTGGGAGAAGTTTTCACCTGTGCATCAGAGGATAGTGGGATCCACTTCACATTCATATAGCTATGCAGCAGATGCAATTTGACCTCTAGGGACAGAATTACACTGTGAAAAGGAGAAGAAAAGAAAAACTTACTGTGACTTTTTAAAAGCAAAGCAGTGTGATATGGCTGGGAAGAAGGGTGGGAGAGGGCTACATGGCTTAGGACTCAAACAGGGTCTGAATTATAATTCCACCAATTAATAAGCTTTATGACTTTGAGCAAGTCACTTCAACTCCCTGAAACTCAGTTGGGGTCAATAATGACTATAAATAATATGTATCCTGTGGAGCTGTTGTGAAGATTAAAACACTATTTGGAAGGGCCCAGCACAGTGTCTAGAAAATAGGAAATACTTAACAGTAGCCATTACTATTGTTGTTGCTGTAAATATTATTTAGAAGAGCTTTTGTTTTTGATAATCCATAAACTCTGGATTTTTAAATAAAACCCTCTTAGCTGGGACCCAGTTGCAGGAGCCCAGAGAAGGAAGCACTAGGTAAGAGGTAAGGGAGGAGCTTTTACATTCATATACTCTTCATAGGGAAGCTGTGGACAGGAGGAAGCCTTAACAAGCTACAGGGAGGTAGACTGGGATGAGGGACAGGAAGGAAGGTATTTTTCTTGCTCTCTGTTTAAATTCCAGAAAGGCAAAAACCCAAACTATTTGGTCAACTAGAAGTAGTGATTTGATTATCTTGATTTTCTGATCATTGTTTTGGGGATTCTGGGATGTATCAGTGTAGGAACATTCTTCCTATTATAAGAAAAGAACAAATCGAGATCCCAGGATTCCCATCTCTTTCACAGGGAGAAAAAGCAGCTGCACAATGCAAGAGTCCTGGTGCCCAACCTGCCTTCAACCCCTCCATCTTCCCAAACACACTGGAGTTAGGATGTGACTGTCTTGCCTGAGGGAAAATACCTGGGAAATGGATGCTGCATGTAATAGAGATCCCAGCTACAAAGCAGAATGAAAAGGCTAGGCCTGCCTCACCTGGCCAATCGGACATTGTCATTGTCATCTTTCCCCCACTCCCAGCCTTTTCCAGGGTCCACAGCAAAGTGCAAGGGTAGCAGCTTATGCTCTGAATCTGTAAGTGGGATCACAGCTGGGGAGGAAAAAACATGCCATTAAGGAGTCTCCTTGAGGAGCAAGGAAGGCAGATGAACACAGAATTACTTTACTAAAATCATACCACAGGCCTCTACTTGTAGTCACTTTTCAGTTCTTATATATGAATTACCTCTGGCATTAAAACCAATTAGCTAGTTTCCCCTCTATGACTCCCAATCAGTCAGTCAACTAACTCTCATGATGTTCTTGCCAATTCATGTGTATTCAGGAAATTCAAAGTCATCACTAAGAAAAATGCTGCAAAGAATCACTTAGAAGGTCATACGACCTTCATACCTTTACTCCAACAACAGGGAATATAGACCGTTTTTTGGCCAAACTTTTTTTTTTTTTTTTTTTTTGAGACAGACTCTTGCTTTGTTGCCCAGGCTAGAGTGAGTGCCGTGGCATCAGCCTAGCTCACAGCAACCTCAAACTCCTGGGCTCAAGCAATCCTCATGCCTCAGTCTTCTGAGTGGCTGGGACTACAGGCATGTGCCACCATGCCCGGCTAATTTTTTCTATATATATTAGTTGGCCAATTAATTTGTTTCTATTTATAGTAGAGACGGGATCTCGCTCTTGCTCAGGCTGGTTTCGAACTCCTGACCTCCAGCAATCCGCCCGCCTCGGCCTCCCAGAGTGCTACTTTTTTCTTTTTTTAATAAAAACGCTGATATATCTTATAATTTAGTAAAACAGTATCAACATACATGGTCTGGGCTTGCATATCATTTAATTATTTCCTCTTACATTAGCTCTCATTCCATTTTCTCAAGTAAAAATAATGCAGACAAAAGACACCTCATTCAGCACCTTGTTCCTTGGCATTCTCCTTCTGCTCCATGGACACAAGTGCAGAAAAGTGGGCCTGATCATAGGCAAGCACCAGAGGGGAGCGGTGACACTGGTTGGCTGGGACTTCCAAAGGCAGATAGATTCCCCCAAAGGGAATAGGGGCAAATGCTGCAGGAAACCACAGAGATTATTAATAAGGCTATGTCCTTGCCTAGTGGACAATACCTCTACCCTACTCTGCCAATTGAGTCATCCTTTCACTCCATCTCATTTAATAATTCTTTTCTAAGAAGCCTTGTCAACTAACACCAACTGCTTTACACTGAATCTCTTGAAAATTTTGCATTATTCTAATTTATACTTTGTCTATATATCCCCTTTCCTGCCTTCCTCCCAATGCTTAGCCCAAGGCACTGTGAAAAGGGGGTTCTCAGGGTGAAGTGAGGATTGACTTGTTGACTCACCTTCCCCTCCAGAGTCCCTCAGCATGGTGTCTGCCACAACGACTATGGGCCTCCTAAGCACATGAGCAAGAACAAAGACGTGGAACTCTTCTAGGCTCTCATATACAGGCTCCTCTGAACTCTCCACCCTAGAATGGCAGGGAGAATGAAAGGATGCAGTGGAAAGGAGAGGGGGAAAAAAACAAAAGACCCCTGAAGACCAGTTCTGCAGAAAGAAAAAAGAGGATTGTCCTTTCCTGGTTTTCCAATATTAAGGCCGTCACTGATATGATTACTTTATGCTACTATGGCTGTTTTTACTTCAGTTTCATAGATTGGGAAATCCAAGAAAAGAGATTTGAAGGCTTAGGAGTTAAAGTGGTGTTAGGTATCTGGAGGTAATCCCTCTCTGTCAACATTCATCCTACTCACCAATCTCTCCCAACTCTCTATATCTAGTAGCTCAATATGCAACTGCATAGCCTCATCCTGCTTACTCTATACACAACCACCCACCCATCATACTCATCATATCTTACCAAAAAACTCCAAAATTTCCCTTCCTATGTTCCTTTACTTAAAGAACAACCTCACCATCTACTCATAAGCCTAATCAGAAATTGTGAAATATTTACTGTGCTTTGTCTCTCATCTTCAATTAATCACCTGGCTTGACCAATTCCATCTCCCACATGTTTATCTTTCTCCTCTGGCCTATCTTCAATCTACCACCTGGTTCACATCCATGGCCTTCTTTCCTAATTACTACAATTGCCTCTTGTCTCCTCTCCACTTCATCATCCACTCTGATGTCAGTGTGTGCAAGTATTGTGCGACAAATTTGCTCCTTTTACTCACATACTCAAAATCCAATGGCCTCCCAACCTCTAATGTTATTCAAACATGGATTTATGGGCCTTACCTCAGTCCAATTCAATTGGACTTTCTTGGGGTAAAGGTCCAGAAATCTGCATGTTCCCCTCCCCGCCAAGAGACAGGGTATCTGTCACCAAGGCTGGAGTACAGTAATTTGATCATAGCTCACTGTAACCTCAAACTCCTGGGCTCAGGCAATTCTCCCACTTTAGCCTCCCGAGTAGCTAGGACTACAGGCCTGTGCTGGCACACCCAGATAATCTTTTCCTTTTTGGTAGAGACAGGGTCTTGCTACATTGCCCAGGCTGGTCTTGAACTCCTGGCCTCAAGTGATCCTCCTACCTCATCCAAAGTGTGGGGATTATAGACGTGGCCACTGTGTCTGGCAGAAATCTGCATTCTAAATAATTCTTCCAGATTATTCTTATGCACAACAAAGTTTGGATAGGTTGTAATTTTTAACTTTCTATAATGGAAAATTTCAGAATTTTAAACATACTCAATACTAGAAAGAATATTATACTAAACTCCAATGTATCCATTACTCAGCTTCAACAATTATAAACGCATGGTCAATCTCATTTCACTTATACCTCAATCTATTTCCCTATCACCCTTCACCCCCATCCTACCAGTAAATCTTGGACATCATATCATTTCATCCATATATACTTCAGTTTCTAGCTCTAAAAAATAAAGGACTGCTTTTTTAAACAAAAATACCATTAATTTCACACTTAAAAAAATTTAACAATAATCATTTAGACATTGTTCCCTAATTGTCTTATAATGTCCACACATTCCAATTGGTTGGTATGTCTGTTAAGTGTCTTTAAGCCTGTCAGTTTAAAGAACAGTCCCTGTTCCTTTTTATTTTCCTTGCAATTTATTTTTTGAAAATACTGGGTCATTTGACCTACCGTTTCCCAAAGTCTGGATGGGACACAATTTTAATTCCTTAGCATAGCACATAAAAAATGGACTACCCAGCCTCATCTCTCATTTCATGCCACATACTCTATATTCCAGCAATACTACCTATAGTTCATAGAACATACCATGCTGTTACACACTTTTGTGCCCTTGCCATAGCTCCTCTCTTTCTTTCTAACATCCTCTTAGCCCAGAGTTTTGTAGACACTGGGCTGCGGTAGCCTAGAGAGAACTCTGTAAAGATTATTTCCTGCTCCCTCACTTAGTCATACTTACCCACCACAGTTGGTTCCATTGGTACCTAGATGCATTCGGGGTTCACTTGAAGCAAGCTTTATCAGTTCATTCCATTCCTTCTGCCATTCTTCCTCTGTGTATACCAGCCCTGACTGTGTGAAAGACAGGCCAGGGACATCAAGCAGTTAGAGACTAGATTCTATAGAGACTAGGTAATACCCATTCCAACTTATTCACTGTTACCCCACTCTCTATTCTCTTAGCACTTGGTTTACAATTGTACCACAAAGTCAAATCTCTTCTCTCTTTTATAGTCGAGATCTGTAAAAGAATAGTCTATGATCTTTCTCAAACTTCATCTTTCATTCTTTTTTGACCCATTGCAATCTAGCTTCGGTTTCTGCCCTCTACCCTATTATCAACCTCCTACATACCACTTTGCCTGACTCTGGCAAAGGACAGTGACCTTCTAATTGCCCAATTCAGTGGACTCTCTGGTTCTCATCTTTCTTTACCTTCATGTGGCTTGTTTTCCTCTTTAAATTTTCTTCTCCTTTATCTTCCATTAAAACTATTTTCTCCTATTTCTCTGAAATCTGTCTACCCTCAAAATATTAGTGTTGTGGCAATGATTTTAGCTTTGGTTCCCTCTGGGATTTCTTCTAATGCCATAATCTCATCCACTATCATCTATATGTTCATGACTCTGAAATGATCCTCTCTAGTCCAGATTTCCTCTTAATTTCTATATTCATATATCCAGCTACCTACTGAAGACTTCCATCTGACTATGGCTATCTCAAACACTAAATAGTCAAAATAGAACTCCTGTTTCTTCCCAAACCCACTCTTCTTCCTATATTCATACTTTAGTGAATAGTACCAACTATTACCCAGACACCCAAGCAAGAAATCAAGGAGTTATCTCCTTTCACTCACCCCACACCTGCATCCCTTTAGTCAACAATTATTAAGCATGAACTACTACAATGCACCCTCAACTGGTTTTACTACTTCCAGTCTTGTATTCTTCTGATCTATTTTCTACAATGCTACTTGAAAATGTTTTCTCAAATTAAAATCTGATAATGTTTGCTTCCTGATACAAATTCTTTTAAAAATCTTCCCAATCTATTAGATATAATTTAAATTCCTTATTTATTACATACAAAGCCCACTTCCTGGCCCCTAATCACTTCTCTAGTCTCATATCTCACTGAATTTGCTCTAGTTCCTGAAATGTACCATGTTGTTTTATACCTCTGAACTTTTGTCTAAGTTGTTTCTTCTGCCTGTAGCAGCCCTCACTCTATCCACCTGGTGAACAACTTCTTAACTTACAGGACAGAACTCAGGTAACACTCCTTTATGCAGTCTTTCCTAAATCTCCCTGGTAGATCAACTATTCCTTCCTTTGTGCCCTCTCTGCTATACAGACAGAAGTCATACATGTTATACTTTGTTGCAATTTTATGTTTACATGTCCATCTCCTCCTACTACTCTTAAGGGCCAGGATCATGTTGTATGCAGCAGTTTTCCCCATGCCTATTATATGATCGGTAATCAATAAATATGTGCTAAGTAAAACTATAATTTTTATCAAAGGAGAACGTGTAATGGTACAAGGAATTTTAAAATATATTGGCTTTAGAATGTATATGATGATTTGGAAGACAAGTTTACCTTATTAATCTTATCAAATTTATTCATTTTATTCTTTTACTTTGTCAGTCAGCATTTAGAACTTATTTTCACACTTTTAAATGCACACTGACAAAGTAAAAGAATTCACACTAGAAACATGAAGAGCACCAGGAACAAATTTAATAGAAATTAAAGAACTATTGTGATCACATTTTACTTTAATAAAAAAATGACAAAGCTATTTCCAATTTGTAAAATGCTATCATAAATTTTATTTCAATTAAAGATAAAGAGAACAACACACTGGTTATATATGGGTGCTCTGGTCACTCCGATCTACACAGCCAGGAGAATCTGTCTCCCTCTTCCTCTCACCTACTTTGCTTCCTGTTTTAATATACACAGCCACTAGGTGGTGTACACTTCTAGTCTTAACACTTAAGAAAATGTTCTTACTGAGCTTTAGCACCAATTTCAACACAAAACAAAGAAGCCCAGAAAATCAAAACTAACTTAGTTTCGTGTTTGGTCCTAGGGAGCTATCACTCCCAAGGTGGAGTATAATGATATGAATGGTCTTAGCTAAGACAATTAGGTAGGTTACATTTTCAGTATAGAACTTATATTGTGCTGAGCGAAAGGAATAAAACAATTATTCCTTCACTAGCTGCTATTCTCTATTTGTGTATTTCCACTGGGGAGTTTGAGAGGAAAGGGTGACTGACCAAAGATAGAACTTGGGTATTTCTGGGTTTCCTGGTTAAATAATATCACAATCTAACCCCATCTTTATTTATTTATTTATTTATTTGAGACAGAGTCACACTTTGTTGCGCAGGCTAGAGTGAGTGCCGTGGTGTTAGCCTAGCTCACAGCAACCTCAAACTCCTGGGCTCAGGCGATCCTCCTGCCTCAGCCTCCCGAGTAGCTGGGACTACAGGCATGCGCCACCATGCCCAGGTAATTTTTTCTATATATATTAGTTGGCCAATTAATTTCTTTCTATTTATAGTAGAGACAAGGTCTCGCTCTTGCTCAGGCTGGTTTTGAACTCCTGACCTGGAGCAATCCGCCCGCCTCGGCCTCCCAGAGAGCTAGGATTACAGGCGTGAGCCACCGTGCCCAGCCTCTAACCCCATCTTTAAAATAACAACTATAATAGCTTTAATAACTGGAATTGGGCACACCTATTCCATGTTACTATCATTTCTTTTTCTTTCTTTCTTTTTTGAGGCAGGGTCTCACTATGTTACCCAGACTGTTTTTGAACTCCTGGCTTAACGCAATCCTCCAGCTTAACGCAATCCTCCTGCTTCAGCTTCCTGAGTAGGTGGGATTACAGACATGAACCACCATTGCTATCATTTCTACTTAATAGCTGGCATGCTCTGGTTTGGTCTGCAGTGGTCCAACCTAAGGTTCAGGTGTGATCTGAACTCAATGGCAAAGAAGGCAAAGATGACTACTGATTTGCTTTGGGTTCTAAGTTCTAGGCTGGCTCTACCTCAGGCAAAGAAGCTTTCCACAGGTCTAGCCCAACTTTTGGTTGTAATAAAGAATGTCATTTCTATGGCTTTGCCCCTGCAACTTTATTCCCTCAGGAATCTTCTGAGGCAGATTGGCTGATCAAGGACAAGATACTGATCTTAATATCATCCTACTTTTAACAGTTGGATTATTTGTTTTTGAGAAAGAAACATAACATATTTTACTTACGTATTTTAAATCATCAAGACATAAAATTCTAAATACTAAAATAAATAAATCTCTTACTTCTATATCTTTGCCAGTTATGACAGAGTAATAAAATGAGAAAAAAAAGAAGATGGAAGAAAAAGGAAAGCTTCAACAAGATATTCCCATATTCAACACTAGAAACACTCAGCCATAAACATGGCAAAAAACAGATATACACGAAGAGCAGAAGATACAAACACAGAAAACAAAGAGAGAACCAGAGAAAAGGGAAGTGATAGGTAAACTTTTTCTGTAAAGGACCAGATAATAAATACTTTTAGGCTTTGTAGGCTATAAATTACAATCCTGCTGTAGTAGGAAGAAAGCCATTAACATACGTAAACATACATGAAATGGGCAGGACTATGTTCCAATAATTTTTTTTACAAAACAGTCATAGTTTGTCCAACCCCTATTATGGAGATAGAAAATATAAACAATCCATTGTTATTTTCTTACATAAAAACAGCCATAACATTTGCCAAATCCCTGAGAAGTGCCATTCAAACTCAATATAACAGGGAAGCTGTCTAAAATTTTAAATAAACTAAAACTGAGCATATGAAAAACAAATGGTATATATGTCCACTTCTATAAGAGTTGAAAACATATGTCCTTAAAAATTGGTCTAGCCTTATTACAAACAAAAAAACAAAACAATGCAAAAATCGTATGGAATTGTTATTTCCAATTTTGCAAAAGACTGCCACTAAAGTCTACTGAGCACTTATCAGGTGAAAATGCACAATGTTAGATACTTCCTCTATAGAGCTCAGCTTCCCAACACCAGTTCTCATGACCATCGGAAGGCATTTACCCTATGATGTTATCTGCATTTTATACAATTTTCAGGATTAAAAAGGGAGTAACACTGACCTAAACACCTGGAGATATTTCCTACTGGTAGGCACTGGTTGACTTTGGGAAACAAGGTGCTCCCAACCCAAGCTCTCCCACCTCTTTATTCTGCTGTGTTTGCTGCCATCTCCAGCGCCTTTTCAATGCTTCCTTCTCGACTCCCTTCTCCATCAGTGCATACAAAGCTTTCCGCAGCATCAAGTCCCGATCATGGAACCCCCACATCCCTGTGGCAAGAAAGCATGACCATAAGACACCTTACCTTGACTCAATTCCACTTACCAATTATGAGACACAGACCCTGGCATGAAGGGAAATCAGGCTAAAGCCCAGGTTCTAACAAACCTGGGATTTAGGGAAGAAGTACATAATCAAGAAAGAAAAGACGTTCCTACTCTGGAGGTTCAAAGACTTAGAGAACCTGAAAGTGGGGGATATACCACATCCCACAAACTCCTGACAGGAAGCTCTTACTCCTGAAGCAAGTCTAACAAGCTAAAATACCGAGTAGCAACAGGTAAGACTGGCCTGGCACACAGAAATCAGCATCAAGGCTTGAGAGGTGATTGAAAAATTAGGACTTTTTTTTTTTTAAAGCCAAGGGAAAATAATATATTGAGTTATAAACAGGCCTAATAATTTAAAGTAAATAAATATCACAAAAGACTGCTGAAAACCTTTTTTATACATCAAAAGAATAAATGCTAAGTAGAATTACACACACACACATACACACACACACATGCAGCTATATACCTCTTGCTTAACTGTTGCTCATTACTCCTGGGGTGAGCTCTCAGAGCAAGGCCCAGGCTAATCTCTGTGCTCTCCTCACATCTCTAAACAAGACTGAAAACCTAGGGTAAGGCTTGCTCCCATCTCCTCCTGTGCCAATACACACAAACACACACATATACACATACAACCTTGCTCTGAACCATCGCTTCTGCCTAAGATCAAGGTTGGCTAGATCAAGTCACATATATGAGATCCGACTCAATTGTTTTCTTTCTACAGAGGAATAAAGGACTGCTTTCAAGACTCACCAAGAGAGGCTGCATGCAGAAGGCAGTTCCCATCTCCAGTAGTTGCCAAAGGAAGCAGCCTCTGACAGGTGGGGTCCACACTCACCCACCAGTTCAAACGCCCTGCAAAAACATGACAGTGAAGGAAAAGAAGGAAATTATCTATGAAGCCTTTCCCACTTTCCTATTTCTACAACAGACTGCAAGTTAGCCGCCCCTAAGAAGCCTACCGGAATAAAACCATCACTCTATTACTCTTTACATCTTTTTTTACTTATATCTAGTCAGGCAGGATCTGGTGAGCATGATAAGTTAGATCAATGGGTCTTAAATGGGGACAATTTTGTCCCAAGGAGACATCTGGCAATGTCTGAAAATATATTTGCATGTCAAAACTGCATGGGAATGCTAGTGGCATCTAGGGGGTAGAGACCAGGGATGCTGCCAAACATAATGTATAGCATAAGGCAGCTTGCATAACAAAGAACTATCTGGCCCAAAATGTCAATAGTGCCAAGGTTGAGAAATCCTGGGTTAAATGATGAGGCCAAGGTCATAAATTGAAATGTGTTGGCTACTTGGTCTGGCTCTGATTCTTTCCCTCTGATCAAGAGACCAGTATTTTACTGTAGCAAAAAAGCTCAGCATAAATCCATCATCAATAAGACAAAAACAACTCAAAGCATGTATTTAAAATGTTCTTTGAGTACCACCTGCACATATGAGTATGTCAGCATGTGTGTGGTGTGACTTTAAAGACATGAGTAATAAGACAAGGTACAAAAAACACTCAAGAAAATGAGTCTCAATTCTGTATAGTCATCCCACAATTGCCAACCCATTATTTACGTGAGGAAAATATTTTATGCATGATGCTTACAAGTTTTCTTGCACTAATGAGAAGTTTACAGAAACAAAAACTTGCTTATAATCTCACCAGCCTAGATAAATTGTTAGCTTTAAAAAAAATTATATGTATACGGTTAGTATAGAAGGTTACAAAATGAAAAATAAAAATGAAAAATAAAAGCTTCCTTTCCATGCTGCATCTCCCACCTCCAGTCTTCCTCCCATGGAATATATTAATACCTGACTAGCTTTCCTAGAACTCCCAGCTGCCTCACCCTATCGTATTAACTAATTTTAACAATAAACTTAAGACAAACACAACTGTGAGGTAAATAAATTTGGGGGGAAGGTTCATATATATATATTTTTAATTCTTATATATTTTTATTTAATTTTTTTTTTTTTTGAGACAGAGTCCCACTCTGTCTCTCTTGCTAGAGTGCAGTGGTGTCATCATAGCTCACAGCAACCTCAAACTCCTGGGCTCAAGCAAGCCTCCTGACTCCTCACCTCCCGAGTAGCTGAGACTACAAGCACACGCCACCACACCCAGCTAATTTTTCTAGAGATGGGGTCTAGCTCTTGCTCAGACTTGTCTCAAACTCCTGACCTCAAACAATCCTCCTGCCTTGTCCTCCCAGAATGCTAGGATTATAGGTGTGAGTTACTGCATTCAGCCAGGTTCATATAAATAAACGTGACTTTCAGATTAATCAATACTGTGCATCATCTACAGCACTGGTCCTTTCTGTTCACAGAGGTATTCCAGAGCCAATTATATTTGTTGTATTTTTTTTTTTTTTTGAGACAGCGTCTCGCTTTGTTGTCCAGGCTAGAGTGAGTGCCGTGGCGTCAGCCTAGCTCACAGCAACCTCAAACTCCTGGGCTCGAGCGATCCTTCTGCCTCAGCCTCCCGAGTAGCTGGGGCTACAGGCATGCGCCAGCATGCCCGGCTAATTTTTTATATATATATATCAGTTGGCCAATTAATTTCTTTCTATTTATAGTAGAGACGGGGTCTTGCTCTTGCTCAGGCTGGTTTTGAACTCCTGACCTTGAGCAATCCGCCCGCCTCGGCCTCCCAAGAGCTAGGATTGCAGGCGTGAGCCACCGCGCCCGGCCTGTTGTATTTTTTTCCATGTATTTTTAGGTATTGATTCCTATGCCTTTCACATGTTTTCCCTTCCATCAAACAGGAAATTTCCAGAGTAAATTGTCTAATATGTATCCTTTCTCTAAATTCAAAAAGCACCTAGCTTGGTACATGTTTATCTGACTCCCGACTTTGATGGTAATCAGATCACACACTTAGCCTGAAAGCTACTGATCAGGCCCAGCCCTGCCATATGGCAGCCTATAGGTGTAGCATAGAGGGAAGAGCACAAAGAGGAAAAACTCACTGACCTGCCTGTTCCAAGGCAACCAGCATGGACTGCTCAATGAGGTCTCTCTCTATGAAGCTGCGGAAGTCTTCATTGTACACAGTGAGATCTGGAAGCTGGAAGGCACAGATGGGCATTTCCAGGGGGTGCTCACTGCTCCCCCCACCCCCACCATTGGAGGAGACATGGGACCGGGCCAGGGAAACAATGCTGGAGCTGGCGTGGGAGATGCCCCTAGACAGGCGTTTTTCTGCAATGAGAAATGGAGTCACCTTAGAACATACACAGCCCACTCAAGAGAACTCTCCACTGATGGGGTGATGGTTACCTCTCGACAGAGTTTACAGTCAGGGAAAAACAGAGTCTAATTGGCTACTGAATTTCACAACCCTTTTTCTCAAGCCAAATACAATCAGAGAAAACACAGAAAGTGGAGTTTTGGGCAGGCACTCACATTATCACAAAATACATATTCCTCTTTCTACCCCTGTTTGGAATTTGCCTGACTTCCTCTTCCTCTGTCTTCTTCCACTTCCATTTCCCAACATGATAGGGACCTATTCATTTAGCAACTTGGTCATTGTTTGGTGGGAAGAAGAAGGAGTAAGAGAAATGAGGTTTCACTAGGCTAGATTTAGTTAAATCGTTTCTCTGGTAATTCTCAGGATCTTGGAGAATACAGAATGGATTTCCATTACAGAAAAGAATATTAATGACAAAATCTTACACATATTTGGGAACTTTCTTCCTATATCAATAACATTTAAATTATTTACTACAACTTTTCTTAATACCCATATTTATCAGAAATTTATACAGACAGTCAATTCTTAACATGCTACAGAGGAAAACAGTAAGGTAGATTATGCCCCAAATCATTTCATTTGTTTTGAATACATGGCACTTGTAATTCCCCAGCAGATACTCCATTATGATAATTTGCTCAGTGTAGTATTTTTTTTTCCCCCATGGCACTATTGACAGCTGAAGTGCTCAGTGTAGTATTATAATTCATTTGCATGGCCTGAGTCATATAATGATTTAATGATTATCAGAAGGGAATAAGAGTTCAAAAGCATGTTGGGTAGCCATTCTTAGTCCAATATTTGCCAGAGATGATGCATAAAACATATCAAGAATTATCTAAAGTTATTTTATATTAAAATATTTTTTAGATATTTAAAAAATACCACATACCCATGGTAAAAAATCAAAATATTATCAAAAGGTAAAATGAATTTACAAAGAAGTCTTCCTCTCATTCAAAATTCCTGATCCCTTTCCCAGAGGCAACCTTTTGTATGTTTCTAAAATTTTTATGCACATAAAAGCACATGAAGCTTCTAAAATCATTTCTTAAAACACAAACAAGAGCATACTACATATATTGTACTAATTCTTACTAATGACTACAGAGTATTCCATAATATGGATGATCACAATTTGTTTAAGCATTCTTTTACTAATGGACATTAAAAGTTTTCAAGCTTTAATTACTATAAAATAATGCTGCAGTGAATATCCTTGTATATTGCATATATGTGTTTATATATGTATATATTTATTTAAAAGACATATATATGTATACACACATATATGATAAATTCCTAGATATGAAATTGCTGAGTCAAAGAGCATATATGCATTTTAATTTTGATAGATACTGGCAAATATTAACAAATTACCGTCCAAACAGGTAGATGGTAGTGATCCTTTTAATTCTACATGTATGTGTACCTTATCTCAACAAATAGATTGTTATCCTCCTTTTTCTATTTCTTTCACAGTATCTGAAGAAGGTTTTTACACAGGATAACACTCAAGATGCAGAGAGACACTTAGGGCCTCCAGCACCTGGACAGATTGAGGCTGCCTCAATCTGGGTTTGGCTTGGGGATAAGGGGAAGGAATGGAATCATCTCCAAAGGATCACTAGGACTTTCTGGCTCCATTTAGCAGTCCCCTCCCTTCCTACTCCTCCATATACAGAAACATGCCCCAGTTACTCCAGTACCTTGAATGATGTCATCCTGCCGCTGTAGGATGGGTCGGGGAGGGCGAGTAGACTCTCTATCAGAAAATCCTTTTTCAGGGGTTCTGGAGCCACCACTCCCTTCACTAAAGGATGGTGGTAGGTTCCCAGCATGGACTTGACGCAGCTGTTCAAAATCACTGAGGGCGGCACTCACATCCCAATTCTTTCCTGTCAGGAGACAAAGCAAAAAAGTGAATTGTGCACTCAGAGTATAGGAAAATTGGGGAAAGACATGGAAAGATCACACTAACCATCCTATCAAAACTAGCAAACATATATTCATGCACATTCAATCATTCTTCTTTTCCTTACCATGCTTTAATTTTCTTCAAAACACTTCAATCTAAAATATCAAATTTCTTTACTTACTTATTTATTGCCTATTTTCTAATAAGTTCCACTAGTAAATGAGTTTAGCTCTCTCTGATCTAAAAGAACTCTCAGAGATCTAGTAACCTAAAACTAAAACTTCCTTTTACAGACAAAGGAAACAAAGCCTAAAGAAGTAAAATAACTTGCCCAAAGGCACAGCTAGTTTGTGCCAGGGCCCAGCAGGACTCAGCCCAGGTCTCCTAATTCTGAGATCCAAAGAGGTTCTTAGCCTAGATGTGCTCTAGGGCAGAGGTCCCCAACCTTTTTGGCACCAGATACTGGTTTCATGGAAGATAACTATCCTGTAGATGGTGGGGCGAGGAGAGGATGATTTGGGGACGATCAAGCACATTACATTTATTGTGTACTTTATTTCTATTATTATTACATTATAATATATAATGAAATAATTGTACAACTCACCATAATGCAGAATCTAATATTGCCACTGATCTGACAGGAGGCGGAGCTCAGGCAGTGATGTGAGCCATGGGGAGCCACTGTAAATACAGATGAAGCTTCGCTCCCTCACCAGGCTCCCTTACCTGATGCCACTTACCTCCTGCTGTGCAGCCCAGTTCCTAACAGGCCACAGACCAGTACTGGTCTGCAGCCTGGTGGTCAGGGACCACAGCGCTAGGGTATCCTAAACCACTGAACTTATATACAAAGTTATGGTTTTGTGCATTTCTCTAGTAAAAGAGTTTACTAGAAAAATTCTAGTAAACTGTCATCAGCTTATCAAAGGGAACTATTTAATATATTCCTCCCCCCTGACGCCCCGCCAATTTAAGAATCACTACTCTACTGAAGAAATAACTCTAAATAATGGATTTGTCACAATGGATTTTTCTGTTGCTTTCTCCAGTTAAATTATTCAATAAATATGTATTGCATAGTTTTCCACACTTTCTTTTCTATACCATATACCATTACCTTAATTCAATTCCTATCACCTACTGTCCCACCTCCAATTCACTCTAAAGAATCCTACAAGATTAATCTTTCTAAAGTACAGTTGTAATCATTTCAGTTCCATAATCAAAATCTTTTTTTTTTTTTGATAGGGTCTTGCTCTGTCACCTGGGCTAAAATGCAGTGGCGTCATCATAGATCACTGCAACCTCAAACTCCTGAGCTCAAGCAATCCTCCTGCCTCAACCTTCCAAGTAGCTAGGACTACAGGCACATGCTACCACACCCAGCTAATTTTTTTACTTTTTGTAGAGACAGGATCTCACTCCTTTTTTTTTTTTTTTTTTGAGACAGAGTCTCACTTTGTTACCCAGGCTAGAGTGAGTGCCATGGCGTCAGCCTAGCTCACAGCAACCTCAAAGTCCTGGGCTCAAGCGATCCTCCTGCCTCAGCCTGCCGAGTAGCTGGGACTACAGGCATGTGCCACCATGCCCGGGTAATTTTTTCTATATATATTAGTTGGCCAATTAATTTCTTTCTATTTTATAGTAGAGACGGGGTCTCGCTCTTGCTCAAGCTGCTTTTGAACTCCTGACCTCCAGCAATCCATCTGCCTCAGCATCCCAGTGTGCTAGGATTACAGGCGTGAGCCACTGTGCCCGGCCAGGATCTCACACTCTTGCTCAAGCTAGTCTCGAACTCCTGGCCTCAAGCAATCCTCCTGCCTCAGCCTCCCAAAGTGCTAGGATTACAGGTGTGAGCCACTTCATCTGGCCCATAATCAAAATATTTAATGGCTTTTCACTGCCTATGGAATACAACTTAGGCTCCTTTGCTTGATATTCGAGGCTTTCTATGACCTGGCCTACTTTTCTGGCCTTTTCTCCACCTGAGCTCTGCCTGCTGTCAGATCTGTAGCGACATTAAATTCTGCGTTATGGTGAGTGGTATAATTATTTCATTATATATTATAATGTAATAATAATAGAAATAAAGTACACAATAAATGTTTTAATTTCCTAATCTGTGAAAATGTAAGGGATAATAATAGTGCCTACCTCATAGGGTTGTAATGAAGATAAAAGGAGTTAAAACACTTAGAATAATGCTTGGTTTTATTTATGATTTTATTTCTTTCTAAACCATTACATTCACCATTTGTTATGACTCCTTTTGCTCATTCTGCTCCGGTCACACTGGCCTTGCTGTTCCTAGAACATGCTAAGTCTGCTCCTACTCTAGGGCCTTTCCATTAACAATCCCCACTGCCTAGAAGAGTCTTTCCTCAATATATCTACACAGACAATTCCTCATCAGCTTTAGGTATTTGCTCAAATGTCACATTCTTAATAAGGTCTACCCTGATGACCTAATTAAAAGTCACAACCCGCTTCATCATTCCCCTAACCATTTTCCATAGCACTTAACACCTTATAATATACTTTATAATTTACTTGTTTATTGCTTATTGACTATCTCTCCTGCTAGAACATGAGAGCAGGGATTTTTGTTTGTATTGTTTTGCTCAAGCATCTAGAATAGTACCTGGCACATAGTAGGCACTCAATAAATATCTATTGAATGAATGAAGGACTTTTGTCCTGAATCAATCAATGAACGAATGACATCTGCCTTCAGCACTTGCTATACAAATCTGCAAATCTCCTTAAAGTCAGGTCTTCCTAACAATCAATATGTCCCAAACTGAATGTCCATCATCCTCATTCCCAAAACTTGCTCCTTCTCTTCCTCTGCTGTTCCCTAAATCAGTAATGGCATCACAATCCCCTCAGGCTCAGAAACTTCAGTCATTTTCAGCTCCTCACCATTCCTCAGATCCCACTCTTTCTCTTCTCTCACCACCCAGTCGATCCTCAGGGCTGTTTGTACTCGGAAATATCTCTCAAATCCATTCCTTTTTGTCCATTTTTAGTATCACAGTCCCAATTCAGGTCCTCATAACCTTCACCTAGTCTTTGGTCTCTCAGGAAGCAGCTAACTGGTTTCCCTGCTCCTAATCTCTCCCCTTTCACGTTTGTTCTTCACACTACAACCAGAGTTAACTTTTATTCTTTTTAATTTATTTATTCTTTTTTTTATTTTTTTGAGACAGAGTCTCACTGTGTTGCCTGGGCTAGAGTGCCGTGGTGTCAGCCTAGCTCACAGCAACCTCAAACTCCTGGGCTCAAGCAATCCTTCTGCCTCAGCCTCCCGAGTAGCTGGGACTAAAGGCGTGCGCCACCATGCCCAGCTAATTTTTCTATGTATTTTTTAGTTGCCCAGTTAATTTCTTTCTATTTTTAGTAGCGACAGGGTCTCATTCTTGCTCAGACTGGTCTCGAACTCCTGACCTCAAGCGATCCTCCGGCCTGGGCCTCCCAGAGTGCTAGGATTACAGACTGAGCCACCGTGCCAGGCCCAGAGTTAACTTTTAAAGGAAAAAGGCAAGGAACAGAGAGAAAATGAGGATCACGTCCTTTGAGTCTCCTTCTAAATTATACCTTAAATCTATCTACTTCTCTCTATTGCTACCACAGTAGTCCAAGTCACCATTATCTCTCACCTAAACTATAGCAACATTCTTTTTTTTTTTTTTTTGAGACAGAGTCTCGCTTTGTTGCCCAGGCTAGAGTGAGTGCCGTGGCGTCAGCCTAGCTCACAGCAAACTCAAACTCCTGGGCTCAAGCAATCCTCCTGCTTCAGCCTCCCAAGTACCTGGGACTACAGGCATGCGCCACCATGCCCAGCTAATTTTTTCTATATATATTAGTTGGCCAATTAATTTCTTTCTATTTATAGTAGAGACAGGGTCTCACTCTTGCTCAGGCTGGTTTTGAACTCCTGACCTCAAGCAATCCCCCGGCTTTGGCCTCCCAGAGTGCTAGGATTACAGGCATGAGCCACCGCGCCCAGCCTATAGCAACATTCTTAACTGGTTTTATACACTTTTTCTCTGGCCACCTTCCATCCATTCCATACCCTACAACCAGTACACTGTTAAAAATTCAAATCCAATCATGTAAGTCCCCTGATTAAAATCCTTCACCAGCCTCCCAGAATAAAATGTAAACTCCTTACTAAGGCCCAGAAAGGCCCCCTATATTCTGCTTCTTCCTATCTAACCAGCTTCCTATCACTCTTGCACTATTCTTATTACCTTGCTCATTATTAGTTTCTCCAATGTGCCATGCTCTCACTCACCTTACAGCCCCTTCCCAAGCTATTTCTTCTGTATAAACACTGTCTTTTACGTTCCTTTGTCTTGCTACTCCTACTCACCCTTCAGGGTTCAGTTCAAACACCACTTCCTTGGAAAGGCCTTTCTTTCTAGATCTAAATCAGGTTTCTCTCTTCCCTCTCATAGCACTCTCAACTTTTCTTTCATAGCATGAATGCATGCACATTCCCATGTGTGAACACACAAGCAATAGTTTATAACATAATTGTTAAGAGCCACCACTCTGAAACCAAATTGCCTAGATTCAAATCCTACTTCTTTTTTTTTTTTGAGACAGAGTCTCACTTTGTTGCCCGGGCTAGAGTGAGTGCCATGGCGTCAGCCTAGCTCACAGCAACCTCAAACTCCTGGGCTCAAGCGATCCTCCTGCTTCAGCCTCCCAAGTAGCTGGGACTACAGGCATGCACCACCATGCCCGGCTAATTTTTTGTATATATATTATTAGTTGGTCAATTAATTTCTATTTTTAGTAGAGACGGGGGTCTCGCTCAGGCTGGTTTTGAACTCCCAACCTCGAGCAATCCGCCCGCCTTGGCCTCCCAGAGTGCTAGGATTACAGGCGTGAGCCACCGCCCGGCTCCAAATCCTACTTCTTAACTTCACTAAGCCTCAGTTTTTAAAAGTATAACACTGGGATAATAAAACCTATATTGCAGAGTAGTTGTGAAAATAAAATATCTCAAGCACCTTGCACATATTGAACACTTACAGATTACAAGAGGAATGGGGAAAGGTTAAGGATTATTTTATAAAAGACGCATTTGAACTGAATCTTGAAGGATGAAGACAATAATGGAGGAAAGAATGCTGTAGACTTAGAAAACCTAGCATGATCAAGGAGAAGTGATAAGTCAGACCTGGCTGAAGCACAACAAGTGCTGGGAAAAGTAGTAAGAGATGAAACTAAGCAAGTTAAGGGCAAAGTTGTACTGAATTAGTAAACTGGAATTTAAACCCTGATCTTCTGTTTCCAAACTCATGCTCTTCTCACAAGTAGCTAAGCAAATGTCAAATTGTCACACTTTGCTAAGGGCTGACAATCTAAAAAATTGCCTATGTATGCTAAGAACTTGCCCCTTCCCCATAGGCCCACCTGTGTCATCGTATATTTTCATATCTTCATCTGTTATGACTCTAAACAAAGAATTCTATGGAAATGATTCTAACCCTTCAAGATCTTAAAATATAGAACATTCAAACTTATGTGTACATACAGATATAAGTAAACAAAAGCAGCAAAATGAAAAAAATGAAAGCAGCAAAATGAAATTAATTCACTCAACATAGAATTAATTACTCATATAAGTCAGGGAAGGAAGAAACAAAAACCATGGATGATCCCAAATATGAAAATCCAAAAGTCATTTATATATAAAGAGGAAGTTGTACAGATCTAGAATTATGCTTTTAGTAGACTAATACAACTTTTCATTTGCATTACCTGAGCACACACTGATAGTGGAAAAAGCTACCCCAGGAAGTTCAAGATGAAAAAAGGATTTTTTTTTTTTTTTGAGACAGAGTCTCACTTTTTTACCCAGGCTAGAGTGAGTGCCCTGGCGTCAGCCTAGTTCACAGCAACCTCAAACTCCTGGGCTCAAGCTCAAGCAATCCTGTTGCCTCAGCCTCCCAAGTAGCTGGGACTACAGGCATGCGCCACCATGCCCGGCTAATTTTTTCTATATATATTAGCTGGCCAATTAATTTCTTTCTATTTTATAGTAGAGACGGGGTCTTGCTCTTGCTCAGGCTGCTTTTGAACTCCTGACCTCCAGCAATCCGCCCGCCTTGGCCTCCCAGAGAGCTAGGATTACAGGCTTGAGCCACCCTGCCCAGCCTGAAAAAAGGATTTTGAATTTTAAAATTATGGTGGGTCATACACAAAGCAGATCATTAGAAGTAACTTAAATGTGGGGTCTACCATATATAATCTTCCTGATAACCTTAAATGTTTCAAATCATCTTGACAATAAAAATCACATTTTACTTTCTCTTTTCTCATTCTTCACCATGACTCCTTTACCTTCCAAGAGATCTCGTGCCAGTCCTGGCTCTGCTCCTGTGGAACGGACAAAATCCGACAGGACAGCATCCATGTCCAGGGTCATGTGATCATCAAGTACTTTCAGGCAGCTGGATGCAGGTAGGACACAGATCAAAATTCAGGCCTCCACCTGAAGAAATAAACACATAACACTTAAATTACACTGGAACAGGATGATCATAGCCCAATTTCAGCAGCTTCCTAACCAACTGGGGAAACTATCCTAGCTCACTTATTCCAGGTTTTAAAATACAGCAGTTTAAAATTTATTATAGAGAGTAACATTTAATTCCCTAGTTCCTTATTAACATTAATGTCTTAACTCCCACATTAACCATAAACCTGTAATACCACTGTGAATACTGCTTTTCCTCTACTTTTCTAGAATATTACATCTTGAATTTGTTTACCTAAACTGAAAGAAGGAAGCAGCAGACTACCACCCTAAAAACTCCCCACCTGCAATATTCTCTAACATGGTACCTTGTTTCTTTCTTTCAGGGCACTTGAATACTCTGAAAATTATTTTAATTAGTTGCTATTTAGTCATCTCCTCTAAAATGTAAGTTTCTTGAAAGCAGGGAACTTATGTGTTTCCCTCACTAATGTATCCCCTGGATACATTATCATCTGTATCTACCACAATGCATCTATCACTTGGCACAGTGCTTGGCACTGTGGTCCTTGGTAAATATTTGTTTAGCGAATGAATACTATGCACTGGATAATCTTAGGGTTAACTAGCGTTTTGACGCCAGTAGAGGAAATGGAAGGAGTAAACTGATAGCTACAACTGTTCAAAATAAGCTATTCTGCAAAGCAGAGTAGGGACTCCAAAGGTTCATAACAGATACCAACTTCTGTCCACTAACTTCATGAACCCAGGAAACATGCCTATCTTAAACATGTCTTTTTCCACCAAGGACAAATGGCTGCCAAAAAAGTTCACCTGGATCTCTACTTTCACATTTGATTTGGCAGAAACCATGTCCCTGACCTGACAGCCTGGCACCAATCCAATATTCCTCTGAGGTTAACAGTCCCAACTGAGGAAGAAATTGAACAGCGTGAAGAACAATCTCTGACCAAATTCTGCTAGGTTCACAGTGCTTGCCAGATACACACCTGCCTTACCTTTTGAGGAAGGCTAAAAGTATAATTCTTGAAGGCAACAGGTGACTCAGGTGACTATTTGGGAATGTCTACTCCTAATCAGCCTGAAGTCTAAGGGTGACTCCCAGATACTTTTTTCTTCACGCCTCCCCTTATCCCAGCACACAGCTTGTATAGTGGTATGATCAGATCCTGATTTTCTGCATTCCTTGGAAATATGAAGGCAAATAAACAGCAAAGATTTATGGGTTATAAAACCAGTAAGACTAACTTGATACCTTAACATTGAATTTTTTTGGTTTTTTTTTTGAGAAAGACAACACAATAGAAAGTATTCTCTCTTGTCCTATTCAGGTAGTACAAGAGATCCATGAGTGCAAGGCCATGATTTCTTCATATTTGTACCTCTAATATCTAGCAAAGCATCTGTAATATAGTAGTCAATAAATGCCTGATGAATAAATGATTAAATGACTAAGTGAACCTCCGCATCATCTACCACCAAACCAACCAATCTGAAGCTTAGCAGATTAGAAATTCTACCGTACTTATTATCACTCCTCTATTTCTAAGGGTCTGTCCTGGTCCTAATCCATCACACAAAGTTTTAAAAACTAAAACTCTCCTTTCTAAAGAGATATTAACCATACTGTCACTACTCCCTCTGCCCTCATATTATATGATTTTTACCTACCCCTATATGTATTAACTGGGTGACTTTGGTCAAATTAGTTACAGGGTTTCAGTTGCCTTTTCTATAATCTAGACTTGGATTAGATGACTCCTAAGATCCTTTCCAGGTTTTAAAAATGAACTTCTTCAGTTTACTACAGCCTTCTAAGCTAAGATCTTTGCATTCACTTTCAGTCTAGGTATTATCAATGTCTAATTTACTTCCATTTCAATACCATAATTATTAGAGAGAGCTACTAATACATAAAGAACTTTTGGTCTAAGATACCCCAAATTCAAAATGTCAAGTTATAAAGTAAATTAGTTCCTTACATTCAATACTTAAGAATTAAATTCCTTCAGAATTCATAGAAAGGCTTTTCCCTCCCTAAAATAGGGAAGAATTTCTTTTCCAAGCCCATTTTAGTCATGGTCTTAGGTTACAGGTGATTGTAGCAGCTCAAATAATTTATACACATGAACAATCCAAAACCAAGTACAGAGCTGCAAAATAAATTTCAATCCATTTTCAAAAAAAAAAAGTTGAAGTAACGGTAAAGCCACTTTTATAACTTTCGGAAAGAAAGTTAGAAATATACAATAAGTACAGAAAATAACAATCAGCAAAAAGATGCTCAGCAGTAAGGAGAAGAGTTGATTAAACCATAGGCATGTTCAATTTCCCAGCCAGACAGGCTTTTCTGAGTGAGAAAAGTGAATGAAAACCATCAGTGATATGGCATCATGGATCTCACATGTCAACATAGTAGACAAGATAGGTCATTCTTTTCAAAAAACATTTCTAAAAGATAATTTTGGCCAAGCACAGTGGCTCATGCTTGTAATCCCAGCATTTTGGGAGACCAAGATGGGAGGATTAATTGAGGCCAGGAGTTCAAGACGAGCCTGGGCAACATAATGAGACCCCCATTTCTATAAAAAAATATTTTAAAATTAGCCGAGTATAGTGGCGTGTGCCTATAGTCCTAGCTATTTGGAAGCCGAGGCAGGAGGATCACTTGAGCCCAGTAGTTCGAGGTTACGGTAAGCAATGATCAGGCCATTGCACTCCACCCTGGGCACCAGAGTGAGACCCTGTCTCTAGTAATAATAATAATAACAACAACAACAACAAATCAGACGTCTGACATGATCTAAAACAATTTGCTCTTTAGCAAAAATTCAAACCACTAGACCAAACTTCTTGGCAGTATGTTCTTAAATTTGATGTCGCCGGGCCCATGTCATGGACTCCACACTAACCGCACCTAACAATGAGGACTGCAGTTTTTGTTATATTAACACAAACACCTGGCTTGAACTTCTCAAATTCCAAATGGGGATATCAAAGACAATTACTAAGACTAGTCTTTGGCTCTGACTCAGCACACAGAAAGGGGAAAAAAGGTGAAAAACAAAATGAAACACAACCCCACCACCAGCACACAATGGCTTTCAACCTTCAACCTTTCCAATAAAACAGAGGAGGTACTCAAATATTTGTTAATTTGAATGGTGTAAAGACAGATTTTAACTGGCATCAAAATTCTCCAGTCTTCCAACTGGAAGGACCTTTAGCAATTATTTAATTTATTGCCTACCTCCATGCAAGAATCTTTCTATTACATCTCTGACAGATAAACCATTTAGTCTCTACTTGAATACAATGTCTCATAGAGACCTCATTATTTTGTCATAATGACTATTTTATTGTTGGACAGCTCTAATTGTTAGAAAATGCTTTCCTAAACTAAAGCAAAAGCTATCACCAGACCCCTCTCCCTATAACTTTCATATAATGGTCCTTATTTTGTTTCCTAGAACAATAAAATCTACTCCCAAACATGATGAAGTTTTCATGGTAAATTATTAGGTAATACATTTCTTTACATAAACATTTGTTGTAGATGAATATCACAATGTTATCATAGCCAGCCAGTGGCCTTTATTTTATAAAATCCTTTCTTATTATCAGTACTTGCTTGTACCTGTATTCATCTGTAAATGTTTGTGCTGACCCTATAAATTCAACATGCTAAATAGATGATTATGTTATATATCTTGTGCAAAATTCACTTCCACTGCTATCTTTGCCTCTCATCCCTAATTCCACTTCCATACTCTTTTGAGGTGATGATAGCAAACAAGAATAAAAATTAACAAGTTAGTATTAGTTAAGCACATTCAAAAACACTATCTTATTTACTAATGACAAAACTCCTGCAAGTATGTCTCATTATTCCTAATTTATAGAGGAAGAAAAAAGGCTTGAAAGTAAGGTGGGTAGTCCAAAGTCTGAACCCAGATAGTCTGAACCTATGCTCTTTTTACTATATCTACTGCTTCCCAAGAGACTAGGGCAGGCATCCTCAAACTACGGCCCACAGGCCACATGCCCGTTTGTTTTTTTACTTCAAAATAAGATATGTGCGGTGTGCATAGGAATTTGTTCCTAGTTTTTTTAAAACTATAGTCCGGCCCTCCAACGGTCTGAGGGACGGTGAACTGAAGTTTGAGGACCCCTGGACTAGGGCATTAATGATTCCTGTAACTGTCCTGATTCTTACCCATTTAATTCTTTCACCATAAGAAACCACTGTGCCTATCTCTCATATTTATTAAGGACTTAAATAAACATCTGTTTTATATTTTCCTCCCTTCAAATCCTACCATCTTCTGAGCCATTTCAACATCCACCTGCACAATTCACCTAACATTTCTGCCTTAGAGTTTCATAATCTCTTCAAATACAAAGATCTCCAGCTCTACTACAACAACTCAGACCTGGACCATATCATTTCCTGAAACCATTCTATCTCTTAAACTTAAACTCCTAACCTCTTAAACTCCATCTTATTCTGAGCACAATCTCATCTCCTCTCTGCTTTTTCTCCCTACTTCTAAACCTGCTTTCTCACCTCACTAACATATCCAATCCCTTAACCACTTTATTCATTAACACAACAAAAATTCATAGAGTGCCTATATGTGTTAGGCATTATGCCCACGTTAAAACTACAACAGTGAAACTAGACGAAAACCCTATCTTCACAAAACTTCCAGTATGGAAGAAAAAGCCCACAAAATTTCACAAATAATTATAATAAAGAAATGCTGAGGAAAGGAGTGTTATCTCCTATAGAAAGCCAGGAAAAGCTTCCCCAAGGAAATGATGTTTCATATAAGAACTGAAGAATAAATAGCAATTGGAGAGACAAATTTGCAAAGGAAGAATGCTCCAAGCAAAGGAAACATATATCAAAGGTCTGTGGCAGGAAGTAACTTAGAGGTAAGAATGGTACAAAATGAGGATGAAGAAAGGGCCTAGTGGATCCTGTTAAAAGATTTGAGATTTTTATCCTAAAAGTAATGAGATGTCGCTGAAAGATTATAAGCATGGATAGGACATGATCAGATATGAATTGTTAAAAGATCACCCTGGTTACAATAAGAATAGCTTGAACACAAAAAGAATAGAAGAGAACAAAAAAAGTGGATTTAGGGAAAGAATTGGTTAGAAAATTATTGCAAAAGAGATGGTGGTGAGCTAGACTAGGATAATAGCAATGAAGACTGAGAAAAATGGATTACACTTTGTCCTTTTTTGCCTAACTGAAAGTGAAACCAATGATTGATCATTTAATTTACTTTCCTGTAAAAATCTAGTTATTTTATCCTTCTATTTCATCTGTCCATCTTGGACGGATCTCATATTCAACTTCTCTGCTACTAAATGGAGCTATTGAGCAAGATAAGATCACACAACCTTACAGAGAAATATGACTACTAATAATTGGTATTCAGCCTCCTTCCTTTCATTGAAACACTGCTGTCTTTTGCTTGACTTTGGTCTTGCATATTGAAGATTGACTTCAACCAATCTTCTCAGCTACTATTCCATACCTTTACCATTCTCCTTGAGCCTCCTGCTCAATCCATATCACCTCCCCTTACTCCTGGCAAATTACTCTGCCCTCCTACTTCACAGAAAAATATAAATAAATTACACAACAAAGAAAGAGAAATTCCTTTAGGTTTCTTCTGCTGCCTCTACTTACTGGTTGCTATTCTCCTCCTCCCTGCAAAATTCTGTGTCTTCAACCTACTAAAATGGGCTGCTACAGAAAGAGAATGACACTGACTTATATAAGAGATAAGATCATCACAATCATCCTTACTGCTGATCTCTTTGCAGCATTTGATACTTACCACTCTGCCTGTCTCTCTGGTCCTATGTCTTGGTCACCTTTGTGGACTCTTCTTCCTGTGCCTGCACCAAAAGCTAGTGCACCTTAATTCTAACCTTAGGCCTTCTATATTCTCATTTTACATCATCCCCATGAGAAACTTCGTTCATGGGCCTAAGGACCCAAATGCTCCTAACTCCAAATGTGTATGCAGCCCCAAATTCTTTCCATCTCACATGGGAATCCTACAGGCACTTTAAACTCAACACATAAAAACATGAGTTCGATGGGCACAGTGGCTTGCACCTGTAATCCTGGCACTTTGGGAGCCTGGGCGAGAGGATTGCTT